GTGAATACTTTACAGCGGCAGCTGCCGTGTGAGCTAACCCGGAGCTAACGGGAGAATAAACTCCCGTGGAAGAGCAGCACTGCAGCGGTCGGTAAATGCTTCTGAAACACATTAATAAACAATGAACCACGGCACTCTGGAGAAAAGTATAAGGTTGGAGAAGTCGTTATTTAATCTGGCTTCGTGTGATTAAAAGCAACACGATCATCGACCCGACGCAGTCCCCCGTTGTTGTTGTTGTTGTAGTGAGCGCCGTAACACCGTTGGGGAGAAAATCAGCGACGTAAACGGTGACATCATGACGCAGCAGCGGCAGCACCAGTCGGGCTCTGGGCGGTGTGAACAAAACGGGGCTGAAGAGAAAAACCGGTTCCGAACCAGAAAAGTTCTAGCATGGAGCTAGAACGGGAATCGCGTTGATGTGAAAGCCTTATCAGGGGTTTGTTCTCCATGTCTCACCTACTGCGCTTAAAAATGACATGTTTGGGATTTGTTACAATGGAAGCTCATTGAAGATTGGCAAGTCAGGAGCTTCAATGTTATGTCAATATTTTACTGTGGTATTGAATTTCAATATTTTTAATGCAGTTATTGTATCAAGTAAACAGATGTTAATGTTCTGTTCCAAGACACAAAACACTTTGATATATAAAATATAATTATAGAATTAAAAAAATGAGTTAAATGTCATCATGCTGAACATTAGTCGGCATGTAGCGAGGTGACACAAGTTCTTTTTTTATAGCCTGACGTTTCACTTCTTGCAATTGATTTCACACTGCAAAAATCATAAAAGTTGTGTTTATTTGTGAAGATTGGCTTGCAAACAAACAAAAGTATATTATGTAAGTAACCTTTTGAGTATAATCAAAGATCCAATGGCTTTTTGTTGAGGGGACCAGTGTGATGCTAACTTCCGGGGTTGTCCTTCAAAAACACGTCACCCTGCAGCAATACAGCCTCGCCTTCAAACACAAACAGGAACTTGCTGTGAAAACCACTCCAGGGCCTTCCTCTTAATTATCAAGTGTTATCTCAGACATCAGTTATGGCGCATTTCCACTGCAGGGCCTCGCACGGCTTAGTACGGTATAGTTAGGTCTTGGTAGGCCAGTCTCACTTTATGCTGCGTTTCCAATACAGTTTAGTAGCTGGGGCAGTAACTATAGTAACGCAGTGTAGGCGGAGCCGTGATGTCATCTTCAATGCGAACCACAAAACCAACATCAGCCGTTAGCTGTTAGCACTCAGAGCTCACAGCTCCTCATATCTGTTCAGAAGCTAGACAAAAGTTAAACAAGTACAAACTACAGACTGTGTCATGGCGAATACAGTCGCTGCTTTATTTATGTCTGTATAGGCCAGTGGTATTCAACTAAAATTCAACGAGGTAAAGTTAAAGAAAATCTCCCCATGCAAAGGTCCGGAACATCAAAATGTCTAAGTTGCTTTATGAATTAGTGTGATATATATTGAAGTAGCTGTAGCTTTATCAACGTCTGCATGTAATCAACAACTGACTGCCAATCAAATAAAGAAAGTTGTTTAAATTCAGTGCGAGAATTGAGCTGGAGCTTGTCCTGCCAGGAGTTTAAATCTGGGCTGAAATGGTGTCAGGGCCATTCTCATACGCATATGCAGGTGCTCATTGGTTAGCCTCGGTTAGCCTGCACTGGAACTATATTTAGTTTTAATGTTGATTCTGGTGGACTGATCATATTGGGCTCTGAGACTGCTTATTTTTTGTGACCTCAGTTCTGACTTGAGGGAATGTTTGGTCAAACACTTTGTGTTTTGTCTGATAGTGGCGTTTTGGCACTTTTAATGAGCGCCACGGTCTCTGAACAAATGAGACACACTGGCTCTGTGCTCCCAGCGGGCAGGATGAAAATGAAGAGTCCACTCAGGGTTAAAAGCTCTGTTCTCACTGTCCACTTTCCTCTTCTTGGAGAGCGCCATGTGTCATTATTTGTCTCTCCCTGCCGTTAACACGCCTGTTCACTCTCCTCTCCGCTTCTCTCCCTGTATCGCTAATTATTCTCTTCACTCACTTTCCTCTCCGCTTCTCTCTGCCGCTCTCTCGTCTCTTCTTCTGTGTTTCTCTCCCTGTATCGCTCTCTCCTTCTGTGTTTCTCTCCCTGTATCACTCACTCGTCTCTTCTTCTGTGTTTCTCTCCCTGTATCGCTCTCTCCTCTCTTCTTCTGTGTTTCTCTCCCTGTATCACTCACTCGTCTCTTCTTCTGTGTTTCTCTCCCTGTATCACTCACTCGTCTCTTCTTCTGTGTTTCTCTCCCTGTATCACTCACTCGTCTCTTCTTCTGTGTTTCTCTCCCTGTATCGCTCTCTCCTCTCTTCTTCTGTGTTTCTCTCCCTGTATCTCTCTCTCATCTCTTCTTCTGTGTTTCTCTCCCTGTATCTCTCTCTCCTCTCTTCTTCTGTGTTTCTCTCCCTGTATCACTCACTCGTCTCTTTCGCCCCCTGTCGGCGGCGGTTAAAATAGAATAGCCTCGTCAAAATTGAAATCCCCTATTAATGTATTGATTATAGGTCCGGGTCCGTATAGGTCGTTGTCTGGGTCCGGATCCGGACCGCAGTCCGCCTGTTGCCGACCCCTGGTATAGGCCGTTGTTGTGAGTGTGGACAGTCAGAGCATATACTGCGTTAGCTTAGCTGATCTCCATTCAGAAAACAAGCATTTTAAAAGGTTTTTCGCCTGCCGTCTGTCTGCAGACTTGTCAAAGCATTAATTCATGGTTTTTACTAACCGGTATCAGTATGTTGTTACTTCGGCATCATTTAGAAACGTGTATTACAATTAAATCACGGTCAAATATGTTCATTTTGTTGTAGTTATAGCCCCCTTGCCAGCGATTCTCTCTGACCATTCAGCAGTCGAGAGTGTTCACTAGTTTAGCATATTCAGCCCGGTTGTTGGCCCGATAAGAACCTTGATTTTGGAGGGCCAGAAAAAAGTTGAAAAAGTAGCCCTGAGCCGGAACTACCCCTAGTGGAAAAGCAAAAAAAAACGGGCCGGGTTTGGCACGGCGCGTGCTACGCGCTGCAGTGGAAATGCGCCATAATATGCTCTCAGGGCAGACGGGGGCCGGGACCTACAGATCACCACTAATTGGCTCTCTGCTGGAGAACAGAAACGAAGACGTCAGTTGTCAGAGAGCGGAATGTCACAGAGGGGAAATCAGCTTTTTATAGTCATCTCATTCTCAACATGCCACTTCCCAACCTCACGCCTTCAGATTCAACAAGGATTCCAATTATTAGGATGAAAAACTGTGATTCATAATACAAGCACTAAAAAATGTGTCACAGTATAGCATAGTCAAACTGTTTGACGAGTGGAAGTCTTTGTTATTTTATGTGAGTTACGCCTAAGGTTCAAGGACAATTTTACCTGAACATGGATTGGAGTCTGCCCCAACAGCTAGAGATGTCCCGATCCGATCACGTGATCGGGGATCGGAGCCGATCACGTGATTTTCAAAAGATCGGAATCGGGAGAAAAAAAAAATCGGGGATCGGGATTTTTTTTATAAAATATTTTTATTATTTAATGTTACAAAACTAAAATGACCATGTTCACGTCTTAAAGTCATCCTGAGGCTTTAGTTTTGGTTTAAAATGACACAACATCATGTATGTGTTGCTTCTTTTGGGCTTGTTTTCAGACCTGGTTGCTTATTTCTCTCAAATCTGGCAACAGAGTGGGCGCAGTGTCTAATAGTAGCAGTAAGCTAACGAGAGGCTACGTTCAGCTGGTGACTCGGGACAGAGAAAATGTCAGGAGTTTGGAAGTATTATAACATTGAAAGCGAAGGCAGTGTAACAGCCAGATGCAATGTTTGCAAGAAGGAGGTTCCGCGTGGTGGAAAGAATAGAGCTACGTTCAACACGACCAATCTAATACGCCACCTGAGAAACAAACAGCAACACGACGAGTACACAGCGGCCACTCAGGGAACGGCACTGAAACAACCGACACTTTCAGAGACTTTTAAAAGGAAAGAGAAACTGCCCCAGAACAGTGAAAAGGCCAAAACAATAACAGCCAAGATAGCTGAATTCATCGCGTTGGATGACCAGCCGTTATCCGTTACCTTTTTTTCTCTTAATGCATTGCATAAAGATCGGGAAAAATCGGTATCGGCAGATTGTCAAAATCAAATGATCGGAATCGGATCGGGAGCAAAAAAAGACATCCCTACCAACAACACTGTAGGGCTGTACCCGAATATCCGAATATCCAAATATTCGTTCGTTGGAGTACTATACACAAAAATTGGGTTATATACATTAACAAATAACTAGAAAACAACAATACTGTAGAATAACAAAATGAATGCCGTGAATAAAACCGAAATACACGTGTTGAAGCGGTTCGCTGCTGATTACTATGCACCCCTTTCCTAGTAAAAATAAAATAGTACTGCCATCATATTCAATTTCAATAGAGGTTTATATAAACTTTAGAAGGTTTTCATGGTGATACAATTGTACATTATTTTTGGAGATGGCCAGGTAAATTGTCTGACTTCGCTAAATAACTGAATGGAACAAGAGCTCAAAGAAAACGGTTTTACAGACACATTCAGAAGTTTCTGGTTCACGCTGACATCTGCTTGCCATGTCAGAGGGTCAAGGCTGAAACTTCTCAGGGGGTATAGTCTACGTTCTGAACAATGTCTGTTATTTCTGTCCTTTTTGTACAGAAGAGGTGCGAATGACATGGTTTACTGAATACACAGTGTCACTCATCACACAGCTGTCACAGGTTAATGTACAATTGTCGCTGTAAGTCTGCTGTTTTGTTCCATAGTCATCCTCCGAACAGTGGTGAATGATATGACATCATAACCAAATCAACTACCCATCAGATTCAGTCCTTTGCTCCTGTCCACAGACCTAGATATAAGACTTCATATCAACAAATGGACTTTCCTTCAATAAAAGAGAAGCCACTTCACTAAAGCCGGGAGCATCTGACCTGAATTCAACCCTGGCTGTGAAGGACAAAGACAAACTGTCCTCCTGACAGGCTCAGCCCAGGTTGGACCGCAGCATGAACCGGATCCACAGCCTGTTCAGTGAGGTTAAGAAACAGCAACCATGTAGAGAAATTGATGTTATCATGACTGAACACAAACGTTCTAGAAAACAGTGCAACACTTACAAATATCATTACAAGCACGTGACACTTGATCAAAGGTTAGGTAAACATGACAGAACCTGGCCAAGCACAGAGTCCACTTCAGAATGTGACCATGTGGGTTCTAAATTCAGGAGTGGGTTTTGAGGTTTCTCACTCAAACATGACACCACTCACTGCTGTTCATTAAGAGTGATAAGCACTGAGGGGGAACAGAGTGATGCTGTTATTGCACCGGTCATTATTCCTCACTAAACAGCAACAGAGAGATGTGAAGTGCAGATTAGAGCTAAGGTTACAGCATGTATGATCCGGATCGACAGGCAGGGCTCGTGTAAACAGTGTTACTGATCATCTGAAAGCCAAAACATCAGATTTACACCGATGACAACATGGTGCTCCACAACAAATAAAACACAGTTATTGACAACACAACATACTATATGTTTACACCTCGATGTCAGCAGACAGTGTTGTGAAATGAAGAACTGAAAGGCAGCGGGAAAGAAATAGGGAGAAGTTCATCTCCACAGCCAGCAGCTCGTCGAGCTAGAAACTAGCTTAGCTTTGCAAAGCAACAGTGTCACTAGACTGTCGCTAATGCTAGCACAACTATCGACAGCTTTCAGTCCAACCTACTTTAATGAACCAACCAGTGACCCGGGCCTTCTATCCCCTCTGTAGTGCTAGTGTGTTGCCCAGTCGACAAGATAGCACAAACCCTCTCCCGTAAACACTGGATAACTGGGACCTGTAATAACAGCTAGCTGCCGAGGCTACGACAGCTATCTTCTCATTCCGCAGATATACAGTGTCAGAAATACGAAACCTGTCAGTGGTTTCGGACTCACCGGTATTCTTTCTCAACAGACATCAATCCGAATAAAGGAACGAGGGATAGCGAGCTTCAATGTTTAGAGTCAAAAAGTGAACTTCAGCACATCGCTGCTCAGTACGCCATCTTGGATCTGCTGGATACTTGGACTCAACCAAATGTGGCATACAGGGGGAGGATTCCAAATGCAACCCCCCAAAGTGATGTATCTAAAGTTTGTTTTAACATACCAAGATCAGAAGAAAGACATGATCCTCTCTGTCATCCGGGAGCGATTGGAGGATTTTCAGTGGTAATATTGACATCCTTCTTCTCTTACCGCATATTACTGATGGATAACCCCTGGAGCCAGTGTCCACAGTGCAGTGTTCCCAACGTACAGATGTGCTCTGCGTGATGTGTCCCTGAACATGTGAACATGTGTACCTGCCTCTGTTCAGAGCTTTCTGTGAGAGCAGCTCATGTCTGAATGCATCAAATAAATGTTCAAAATCAATGTTTGAATTTAATATAGGTACATAATTGTTTCGGTACCACTTTACAAGAAGACTACCCTTATAAAGCATTCATAAAGGTTTATAATTAGGTTATGAATTAGGTTGTAAACACTTTATTAATCATTAACAACCATTTATAACATAGTTTTCATTCATTAACACAGGCTCACTATTTGGCAAGATGACTAAGCCTTATATTGGCTACTTAGCGAGAATCAACTCAGTGAACAACATGATACCAAGGATGCTGGCTGATGAAGAAGACGAAGTAAGCTAAGTAGCCAATATAAGGCTTACAGATACATGTGGGCTCATTATTTGGCAAGCAACCGGTCACAGTTGCCCTGTTTATCTCATGTCTTATCTTAAAAGCGTATTAATGATTTATAAAGTGTTCACAACCTAATTAATTACAAACTATTCGTAGACCCTTTATAAGGGTAGTCTTATTGTAAAGTGGTACCATTGTTTCTTAGTCAATATTAAAAAATAGATTGTGTTCAACAATTGTAATTTATGTATATTTTCTAGAAATCAGTTGGTTTGATTGAATACATTTTAAGATCTTCAAATATATTTATAATAAAGAATACAAGGAATTCCCAATGACTATTTTCAAAGTGAATTTGCTTCAAAGCGTTGCAGGACTGTGTGTGTCCTAGCACTGACCTGAGGGTGCTGAAGGCTTCTTGGTTGATGGTTTGTACTTGAGGACTGACTGAGGACAGATGTAGCCTACTGTCCCTCTATGTCAGGGACGTGTTATCTTCTGGTGATCCCGAGTTTTCAGCTTTCTACCCTATATATACAGTCTATGGTTCTACCTGACACATTCTCCATTTTTGCAACCCCCCCCCCCCCCGTCTCTCTCTCTCTCCTTCTCCTCATTGACTGAGGCTGGGTCCTCTCCCCTGACCATGTACATGTCTGCTCTCCATATTAGTCTATACTTAGTCTTTTGGGACCAAAGGTCTACATATTTCACCAACCCATAAGGACCCACCGTGACACGGGTGTCACATTAACTTTACATGTTCTGGAAAGTTCCTTATACAGCTTTAGCCTTAATTTTATCTCATGAAGTCCCTAAGTGACACACCAGTCTGGTGGGTCATGGTCATCCAGATTTTGTGTTCCCATAACAACATGTCCAAGATGTCCATGTGCCAGACTAACACGTGACCGAACTAGCTACATTTCAAAAGCTTTTTTGTTGTTGCTAAAGGTAAAATTCAAGCCTTTTAAGAATTAAAATGCATAACATGTGCTTTATTACATTTAACCTGTTGTGGAAACATTTCTTGATCAAATTGAAATGAAACAAATGAGACAAAAATCGCTGTGACACTGATGTCACATCGGGACTTTAACCCTAAACTTTCAAAGTAAACCCAAAGTGACATATGCACAATTAGAAATATGATTATGATCTGCTCAGTTAATTTAGCTGATTCAATTATATTGAGTTATGTTCTTATTCTTCAATTCAAAGAATGTTCAAACTAATTTAAGCCAATAAATCATCCTCATTAATGAAGTTATATATAGCCTAAGAGTTATTTTACCATTAAAGCCCAATGTGACATATGTCACATTTCAGATCTTTGACACTAGGGGGGGTTACTTGTGAGAAATGTGTTCTAGGTGGTCTATTTAGTCTAAATGATGTTCCCCTTAATTTTCCCAAAAGTAGAAATGGGTCCGGGTTCTTATGGGTTATTAAATTGAATGCCAATATCATGGAATGCACTCAGAGGTGGGAGAAGTACTTAGATCTTGTACTTGTTCTTAATATAGTTCGCCATCTGTGTACTTTTTTTTTTTAGATGTTTTGTTTTACAGTTTATGTATGTACCATGACATCAAGTCAAATTCCTCGTACGTGTGTACCTGGCAGTAAACCCGTTAATCAAGTAAAAGTAGAAAAGTATGAGCATCAAAATATAGTGAAAGTAGCGACAGTAAAAGTATTCATTGTGCAGATTGGTCCATTTCAGAATAATATATATGATATGTTTTATAATGATTGATCATGAAAGTGTTCTCAAAGCTGGTAAAGGTGCAGCTAGTTTGAATGACTTTGTATACTGCAGGGTAGCTGGTGGATTTACTCCAGGTGGAACTAAAGTCTGATTCAACACTTGGTTATATTTCACATCATTCATCCACATCTGTGAAGTAACTAAAAGGTATTAAATACATGTAGTGGAGTAAAAGTACACCAGCATTTACTTCTGAATTGTATTGAGTATAAGGTAGCATACATTTGAAATACTCAAGTAAAGTACAAGCATTTTAATATTGTGTTTAAGTACAGTGCTTGAGTAAATGTACTTCGTTACTTCCCACCGCTGAGAGATTGGGAGTAACTTGGATCATGATCATCTGCTGACAGGCTGATCCTCATTTCATTGCGGTAATGATTTATTCTTGGTTCTAATCACCAAGCTGACAGGAGAAAACTGAATGATGGAGAAGCTTTAAAAAAAACCTTCATGTTGTGCCAAATGTATGCCACAATTTACATGTATCTTTAGTCCTGCTGGCCTGTGCAATGTTATCAAGATAAACACGACAGCTGTATTGTGCTGAACTCACATGTCTGTCATGGGAAGCATTTGCAGTGGATTTGCGTGAGGCTTAGACTGCTGTGGTTCTTTACTTTAATGAACTGTAAGCACAGAAAGTCAAAGTTAATTTGGTAAGTAGCTAACTGTGTCTGTAGAGCCCACCATACTGAGGCGTGTGAAGACCTGGCTGTCCCTCCCTGGGCATGGACACTGATGTAGAGCACACAATCCAACTGCCTCCTACAAGCACAATACATTCTCGGTGTGTATTAAAGCAGGAACATGGCGTCCATGACCTGCATCGATCCAAATTTGCTTCAGACAATTTCAGACCAATTTATGGTGGGAGGCTGTGGCTCAGTGAGTAGTGTGCTGGACTTCGAATCAGGGGGTAGCAAGTTCGAGTCCCACTGCAGTCGTTGTGTCCCTGTGGGGATTGTCCACAGTACTGAATGTATGTAAGTCGCTTTGGATAAAAGCGTCTATCTAATGTAATGGTGCCTGATCCTGGCTCTAGCACCCATCAGGCCCTGCAGTGGGACCCATGGGAGAGCTGTTGTCAAAGTGGGATTAGTATGTTTTACAGAGACCGGATCTGTGATGGGCTGTGGTTATTATTCTACAGTGGCTTTGTGCAAGCATCAGGTGAGTGGAAAAAAATACACCTGTAAACCAATACTCTGATTTGTAAAATATAAATGGATGTTCAGAAATAACCCATATATTGCATACAGAAGGTACATCTACTTAGTTCTGCTCGAGCATTTGTGAAAAAAGTAATTGCAGGAACAATCAGCAGGACACACCTGACCTAACATGACCCTATGGCTGGTGCTGTACTGAAAACATCATGGATAGAAAGGTAGATCACTAAATAAGTGACCTACATGGCTGCTGGGGGACAGGAGGACAGTGAGGTCCAGACTGACGAGGACCCTCCTGTGGCAGCTGCTGGTTCTACAGGCAACCTGAGGACCACAATGACCTTTGGACCTCTGTAAGAAAATCAACGAGAACTCCAACTGAATCCGACACATCAGTCACAGCACGTTAGTGTTTTTGAATTATCTTTATTAAGTAAACTCTACACTTTTAGTATTGCTTTTTTATTTTAATTAATTATTTTCACTCTAAATTAGAACCTTTTTGCAATCAGCACATATAGAACTTTTCAATCAAGCTACACTTTTTGAGGAATACAAAAATATCACAGTACATTTTCTACTAAGTCACCTTCACCTGTGAGGTCCAGAGCCAATCAGAGAGCGGCTTCAGAAGCACAGCAGCTGCCTGGACAGAGATGCAGCACCATGTCTGTGAGCTCATCATGAAGAAAGGGGTACGGATCTGTGGGCGAGCACTCACTCTCTTGCATTGCACATCAACCATGGCTGTGTCTCACTGCAGGGGCCACTGTCTCTGCAGGCGTGATCGTCCCGTGTGTGAGAAGTTTTACCTGTGCTGAATACATTTGGTAGAAGTCCATCAAATGAGACACAGCCACTGTTGTGTGTGACAGCCCCAGGTGCTTCACACTGGAAACATACAATCCAAATACCAAGATCTGTACTCTAATAAAACCAACACATTGTCTTTGAAGACACACAGCAGAAATAGGACACTTGTTGCAGTGCTAAACTCAATCCTGTTTGAGAGAAGGTTTACTGACGTGTCTGTACGAGTTGGTTTCACAAGAAGGGAACCTTGGACACGAGGACAAACTGTTAAGACTAACTAATGTAATGGAGCAGTGAAAAGCTGCTCCCCATGAAGCTTCAATGCAAAGCACCTGAGATATGTTGCACTTGAACTGCTCAGTGGATGCTGGGAAGAAGGGCTGGGTACGGACCTTCAATACTCGGAGTTCTCACTGATGTATGTTCCATTAGGATGAAAAACGGCAGGCATCCAATGCGTGTTTACTTCTCATGTTAATCATATTTTTTATCAATTGCTTAATCCTAAAGGTTTACTATTGTTGCAGTTGTTGTGTTAAGTCAGTGAGTGAATTTAACAAATGTGGCTTATTCTGTTAAATGCCAAGAAATTCTTATGAGAAATCAGATTTATATTAAGCAAAAAGGTATTGTAAAAGTCAAATGAGTCATTAGCCTTAAGGAGATTAAAAGTGATACCCAGCCCTCCTGACAAGAGACATGCTGGATGTTGTGGGCCCTGCTTGGCCCTCAGATGTGAGGCAGCCTCTGGTTGAGGTCTGGAGCTGGTTCTCGTCACTCCTCAGACGGGCTGAAATTTAAATATGGATTCAACACAACAAAAACAGCACCTTAACATTCTGTCATTCTCTTCCTGTTCCTCTCTGAATACATGTCATATTCTATATAAAGTATCAAAAAGATTAAACTAAATACAGAAAAATCCTCACCCAAACTCACAATATAATTTCTCATATTAAACTTTTTCTTGCAAATCCTTCTTTTCGCCCACACTGCAGAGATGCAGATCCATAGTGAGGAGCTGTATGTGTTGAGGCCACAGCACCAACCACTGTGGACAGGAATGTTGCAGCATAAAAATGAGCCTCCCTACAGGACACTCCAAAGAGAGGAGGGTGAGAGGCCTCCGTCAATGTCTTCAGTTAAGGGGAAATGGAAGAGTCGAGTAAGATGAAGAAAGGAAGGAGTACACTTTAATTCCACAGTTACACAAACATGAACCATGATGAAACGGGGGTGAGGAGTCAGTCAGGAGCAGAGGAGAGCAGGAGGGTGAGTCGACACCTCCTCTGAGCTCCGAGCACACATAAAAAAGGAAGTGTCTGAGGGTGGGGCGCGGGAGCTGATTGTACTGCCTGTGTGCAGAGCCAGTCTGAGTCCACGTCCAGAGAGAAGGAACCACAGAGCGGGGAGCGCGCTCGGTGCAGTGGCAGTAGCTGTGCTGGAGGCTGAGGGGGCCCAGGACCCTCTCTCAGGGGGAGAAGGTGGCCATCTCCAGGGAGATGCGTTGCCACAGCTCCTTGGTCTGCTTGCCTCTCTTCAGGTTCTGCAGCACATCGTTGAACTGCATCATGCCTACAGGCGTCAGGCAGAACGCACTACGAGCGCTGCGGATGATGTTCACAAAGTCATCGTAGTCTGCAGGCGTCAGGTGGATGAGCCGGTGGTGGATGTACTGCAGAGAGAGGCAGGGACAGGTTCTCATTCGTTCTAATGAGAGCATACATGTATAAAGAGAACTGGACACAGCATCGAGGCGGGACACAGCCCTGACCAGCATCTCGTCTTCTTAAATCCACATATTATCTACAATCAGTGTTACAAACTTTAAATGATGACATGTATGCAACATTTACTTTTTCATGTCTTTTATACGTTAATGTGTCCCCTCTGTGGAAAGAGACTCAGAACGTTTGAGGAAAAAAGATGATCCACCTATATTAAAACCTGTCTGAATGAACTGACACTGACACTCATCAGATTTTGTTTTTCTGGGTTATGCAACCATCAGCCACTCACCAACCAACATAAGCAGCATTGTGTGCACAGAGGGGGAATGGCAGCTCATTAGCATTTCAAACTACAAACACAGAATCAGCCCTTTTGAAACAGGGCTGAAACAGAGGGGTTTATGGGATGCTGCAATGATCTGTTTGGTGTTTCAGCCAATCAGAGACATGTTCTGTATATATCTGAGACCTGTGATATACTGTTGGAAAAGAGCATAATAGGGGACCACCATCATGAAGTTAATACTCCAGTTGAATATGAGTTACAGGGAGGATCCCTCAGTCACTGCTAATAGATCTAGGGCTGTCCTAACAGTTTTTGTTTTTAGGGCTGACAATGTCAACGCGTTAACTTTGCGATTTATCTGGAAACCTTAATGCATTACCGCAGTGAAAAGGCAAAGAAAGTGAAAGCACTGACTAGAGACCACTGGACATTAGAAGCATCACTACACGCTGTAACAGAGGCGCAATACTGAAGCATGTGCTAGACGCCTTCTGCTCGCAATATGATGCAGGGGTTCATACACTTTTTCACCACTTCTCAATTACCTTGATCTAATTTTCCATGACCAAAAAAAAATGACCACTGAAAATGGTTTATTTTAACATGGAACAGGAAAATAAGGTCTGCATATGAAACATGTTGTGCCTATCTAAAACAAATCAAATAGTAGGCTTACTAGCTTCTACACGCTAAAGCAACTGTAGTCAGGGATGCAAACTCATCAGGTATGAAAAAGGTGACAAGGATCCGATATATCCAAAATATATAAAAGCATTTATTTTAATTGTGCAGTCAGTTTATAATTTTGGCAGCACTGTTGAGCATTTTGAAAATGTATTTACATGCCTCTGTGCAAGGCTTAGTCTTTCTATCTGTATAGCCACTGGTGTAAAGTAACTCAGTTCATAAACTCAACAAGTACTACACTGAACAAAAATATAAACGCAACACTTTTGTTTTTGCTCCCATTTTTCATGAGATGAACTCAAAGATCTAAAACATTTTCTATATACACAAAATAACCATTTCTCTCAAATATTGTTCACAAATCTGAAAAAATCTGTGATAGTGAGCACTTCTCCTTTGCCGAGATAATCCATCCCACCTCACAGGTGTGGCATATCAAGATGCTGATTAGACAGCATGATTATTAGGGCTGTCCCGAATACCATTTTTCGGGCTCCGGATATTCGGTAGTAATCAGCAGCGAATATTCGGTGCGGAGAGATTATTATTATTATTTAAATAATTTTTTTTTTTTTCATAACACGCTCCGAGACACCTGACAACACGCTGTTAAGCAGAAGCGCAGAAAGAGCATACTATTACGATGTATATTTATTTATTGTCTCAGTACTCGCATACATTCAAACTAAATGTGTCCTCTGCATTTAACCCAGTGCAGCGCCCGGGGACCAAATCTGGTTCCAAATTCCGTCTATAACGTTTTACAACCTGAAGATACAAAACACATATTTCTGTTATAACAACAATACTTTTAATAACATAGCCGTAACAGTAGGCCTAACAGTGTAACACTTGTTACCGATACAGTAAACAGTATTTAAATAAATGAAGAACGAAAAATAAATGAACGAACTGTATGCCAATAATTGCCTTAGCCCCAGATGTTCCCACACTGCTCCTATTATTTTCACTATTCGGATCAAATTGAAAAACTAATACAAAAAACAATTCGGTTGCTTGCTTGCAACTATTTTCCAAGCAAAGTAAGTTACTGTTTAAACGGCGGATAAAGCAGCTTCATCATGGCAACTTGACAACAGCTAAGCTAAGCTAGGCTAGTACTTACAGCATCCAGGTGACTTTTCAGAGTTGTTGTGCCACCGGCCAGTTTCTTGTCGCATATTTGGCACACTGCCTTCTTCTTACCGTCGTCCAATTTAAAATGGTCCCACACAGCTGAAGTCTTCGGCATTTTGTGTTCAGGTGTGTGAAACGAGGTGAAGCGAGGTGAAGCGTGCCGTTTGCGTTCGTGACTGTGAGTGAACGCGATGTCAGGAGCACAGGCTGAGATTGTATATATTTCCGCATTTTAACAGTGCAATTCAAAAGTATAAATATAGTATAAGAATATGGCAATTCGCCTTTATTGATGACATTTAGGCAAAACAAATTATTTTTTTGAAAAAAACAAAAAAAAACGAATATCCGAATAATGAATTTGAAACTCGAATAGTTAGCCAACGAACGAATGTTCCAGATACTGACTGGTTTTCGGACCCCTCCAGAACCCCCCAATAAAGCAAAAATGCACGTTTCAGAGTGGCCTTTTATTGTGGCCAGCCTAACGGCCCGTACACACAGCAGCTTTTTGCGATTTGTCCACCGCTTCCAGCCCATTATTGACTTTGAATGGGGATGACGTCACTTTCCCTCGCTTGTCGCCGAACTGTATTGTGGGGGGGCGAGGTGAAGATTTCCAGGATTTTCAGGATTTCAAAGTTGAGCAATGTTCAACTTTTGAAGCTGAGCTGGAAGCGTCAGCCAATCAAATCCCGTTTATGCAAATCTGACAGTTCAAGCGCTAGCCAATCAAACCGCGTGCAAGCTGGGAGAGCCAGACCGCAGTTCATTCTATATTCCTAACAAAAATGGAGGAGAAGTTAGTTATTGCGGTAGCAAATCACCCGGTTCTTTATGACCAGTCCCTATTTACTTACCGGGATACAAACCGGAGGAACCAGGCATGGAGGGAGGTGGCAGAGGCAGTGGGTGAAACTGGTAGGTTTTCGCTTGTTTGGGGAGTTTATATCCAGTTTACTTCGTTGCTAGTTTACTTCGTTGCTAGCAAGCATAGACAGTATCATTAGCCAGCATGGAATGTAGCATAAAATAGCACCATAGACATTCATCTCATAAATGTTCAAAATGTTAAAAGAAATAGTGGAGAAGAACCGGGGTTTTTTGCTTTGTATGTCGGGGGCGGGAGATTCATGTGATTGGTTGTTGGTCGCGAAATCCCCAAGCTTTCAGACACGCCCAGCTCCAAGATTTTCAAGATTTTTGAAAAGCTGCTGTGTGGACGTACCGTGAGGCACACCTGTGCAATAATCATGCTGTCTAATCAGCATCTTGATATGCCACACCTGTGAGGTGGGATGGATTATCTCGGCAAAGGAGAAGTGCTCACTATTACAGATTTTTTCAGATTTGTGAACAATATTTGAGAGAAATGGTTATTTTGTGTATATAGAAAATGTGTTAGATCTTTGAGTTCATCTCATGAAAAATGGGAACAAAAACAAAAGTGTTGCATTTATATTTTTGTTCAGTGTATAAGTGGGTACAATTTTGAGATACTTGTACTTTATTTAAGTATTTCAATGTTTTGCTACTTTGTACTTTTACTCCTCGACAATTCAGAGGTAAAAGGTGTAGCCTACTTCTACTCCACTACAGTTCAGAGGTACATGGTGTACTTTTACTCCCCTACATGTATTTAATCCCTTTAGTTACTTCACAGATATGGATGAATGTGAAATATAATCAAGTGTTGAATCAGACTTTAGTTCCACCTGGAGTAAATCCACCAGCTACCCTGCAGTATACAAAGTCATTCAAACTAGCTGCACCTTTACCAGCTTTGAGAACACTTTCATGATCAATCATTATAAAACATATCATATATATTATTCTGAAATGGACCAATCTGCACAACAACTACTTTTACTGTCGCTACTTTCACTATATTTTGATGAGAATACTTTTATACTTTTACTTGAGGAACATTTTGAATGCAGGACTTTTACTGAAACAGAGTATTCCTACACTCTGGTACTTCTACTTTGACTCAAATACAAGATCTGAGTACTTCTACATTTATTAAGTACAAGATCTGAGTACTTTTACTAAAGTACAAGATCTGAGTACTTCTACTTTTACTCTAGCACAATATCTATACTTATACCACCTCTGTTTATAGCCTATGAAAAAAACTATTAGAATACGAAGGCTAAAGCTAACGTTAGCAGATAGTGACAATGTATGCTAGCTAGCTAGCTCAACGATTGCTTAAATAATATTGCGACAGAAAAAATAATATTGCGACAGAAAAACGTTTCAGTTCACATCACGCTCTGCCGCTCTGCTCTGAACACCAGCGGCTCAGTCTGTGCCACAGTGACTCCGCACAGTTAACGAACAGATAGATAATGTAGCTGACCCTCATCCCGGAGCAGCAGAGTTCAGCCGACAGGCAGGAAGACTCGAGCACACAGCTCGCGCTTCATATATTAAAAAATAACACCATGCGCGTCATGATGGCACATAACAGCTCGCGACCGCAGATTATTTCGGCGATTAGATAAAAAGTAAATTATATTTGACGCAACTTTAGTTACATTTCCAATACTTTGGGAAAAATATTGTTTTCCATAACTTTTCCAGGGCCTGGAATTTGCATTTTGAATTTCCATGACTTTTCCAGGTTTTCAATGACCGTACGAACCCTGACGATGGCTCTGCAACAAGTACCAAGAGCACAGGTGTAGCTCACATTATACAGAGAGGAATCACAGCAGCCCTCTGTGACAGCAGTGCTGTCCATGCTTAAGCATTGTGTCGGGAAATTGTGGGATATGTTCCCCTAAATTAGAAGTTAATACTAGTACTTTAAACTTGTGATTATTCATTATTACTCACAGAATATTATTGTGATAAACACAATTCTCAAACGTGTGAACTGATTCAACTTGTGAATACATGAAATACAATGAAAGTGTGTCTCTTGATGTCTTCTGTCACACACACCAGTAATCCAGGACACATGGGAGGAGTAGGTTCTGGACAGCCAGTTTGGTGAAACAAAGTTGTGGAGGCCAAGAGCATACAGGCCAATCTCAAAGGCACACAGGTGCAGGTTTCTGTGGGGCCCCTGGTGGCCCCCGCTGGCTGACGGGATTACTCACAGAATATTATTGTGATAAACACAATTCATTTTTTTAAATTGACATCATTAATTATTTTATTTTGAATTCAAAGCCTCTATTGAGGCATTTTCAATTTAAGTTTGAATGTCAGAATTTTTAAGGCAGAAATTAAATCTTCAAAATGATTCCTCAGATTACATGGGTTTGTTGTTTTCTAGACATCTTTTTAAGTGAGATGCTGAAACAGAATATTTGATTAGGATAAAAACATTTGGTGTATTGTTTTTTCAATGTTTGCTGATGCGTGTACCTGCAGGTAGGCCTGTTGGCAGCGCTGCACCAGCTGGTGGAAGGCGGGTGTTCGGAGGTGTGCGTGGATGTGGGCGGGGTTGAGTCTCTGCAGAGCCTCCATGATGATTTCCTGCAGGACGAACGGACTGAGGACTCCTTTTGCTGCTCCCACACAGAACTGGTACACATAGTTGACTCCTGACAGGACGACAGGAAGACAGAAGACAGACAGAGAAGCATTAAAGTGATACTGTTTTAACAATGTGTGTATGGGCACAGCACTGTGTCCCGTCTACAGTGGTGTGTAAACATTGGTTTATTGTGACTGGTAGGCATTACAGCTCTTCTTAACTTCATACTGCAGCAGTTCGTAGTTTGTCTGCGAGGCAGACGGAGATGTTCCAATAGTCTTACTTGTGTGTGCTACCGAGCGGACAACTAACACAAAACATTCCCCATCAACCTGTCCCTCCCTTATGGCGCGTTTCCACTGCAGGCCTCGCTCGGTTTGGTTAGGCCTCATTAGGCCCGGCTCACTTTAATGCTGCGCTTCCATTACAGTTTAGGAACTGGGGCAGTTACTATAGTAACGCAGTGTAGGCGGAGCCGTGACGTCATCTTCAATGAGCGCTCCAGAAAAACAACACAGCCATTAGCTCTTAGCACTCAGAGCTCACAGCTCTTCATATCTGTTCAGAAACTAGACAAAAGTTAAACAAGTACAAACCACAGACTGCCTGTGTCATGGCGAATACAGTCGCTGCTTTATTTATGTCTGTATAGGCCGTTGTTGTGAGTGTGGACGGTCGGAGCATATATAACGTTAGCTTAACCAAGCTCCATTCAGAAAACAAGCATTTTAAAAGGGTTTTTCGCCTTTTTTTTTTTTTTTTCTGTCTGCAGACTTGTCAAAGCATTAATTCATGGTTTTTACTAACCTGTATCAGTATGTTGTTACTTCGGCATCATTTTGAAACGTGTATTACAATTAAATCACGGTCAAATATGTTCATCTTGTTGTAGTTGTAGCCCCCTTGCCAGCAATTCTCTCTCTAGTTTAGCATACTCAGCCCGACTCAGCCTGGTTGTTCCTGGCCCTAGAACCACGATTTTATGGGGCCAGAAAAACTGTGAATTAGGATCCGCTAGCCGGTACTAGGCCAAGTGGAAACGCAACCAAAAACGGGCCCCGCACGGCTTGGCACGCTTAAAGCGAGCTACCCGCTGCAGTGGAAACACGCCATTTGTGTCCAATAATGCAGTGATTTTCAACCACTGTGCAGCAGCATTGTTGAGCGTCTGTGCCTGCACTGTCAGGGCAGTATTCAATAACTCTCCTATGCCAGTGGGTGGCAGTAGGTAGCGCAGTTATTACCTTGTACATTTAAGACAGTAGAGTTAAGTGATGCGGTGACGAACAGTGATGGGTAAATATAAAACAAAAGACTGGGTCCTTGACAAAATTCTAGCGGAGATGAAGAGCCTAGTGTGAGTGGTGGCCATAGGAAAGAAAACAAGGTGAGCTCAAGGCAGTACACTGAAAACTATCTTTTGTTTGGATTTACTTTCACCATGTCTCTAACCACACCATCTCCGTCGGCGCCGAGATTCCAAGATGGCGCCGGGTTGTTTGGCAGGCCGTCCAAGCATCTCTGTTTTAGTACTAGTGTTTGTTCTGTGTCTGTTTTGCTCAGTGACAAGGACCATTGACTCTCTGTTAGTATACAACCGACACGAGATGCTTAAGATCAAGGAAAATGTGGACTTTTTTGCGAAGTTTGGCCAGGGTGGACACCCCCCCCCCCCCCCCCCCCCCCCTTCTATCGGATGTACCTGCACACCTACTGCGGGCCGGGCCCTCGTTACCCCGAAGACGCAGACGCCGAGGCACACGCAGTGGCCGGCTGGTTAGGGTGAAAGAGTGGCTAGCGTGGTCTCCTGAGCTGGCTCAGCACCCTTGTCCCCCGGAATATGGACCTTGTTTTCGCCGCCTGGCCTCCCGACGCCCCCTTGCCATGGTCGGCACCTGGCTGGTACCTGTCGCTGACCCGACTCAAGATCTGCATATCCTGCGCCCCCAGTGGTCTCGCCTCTCCCCCCCTGATGGAGTGAACCACCGCAACCTTCGGTCGCTGGGTCTTGAAACTCACGCGACTGTTGCCCCGGTTCCAACTAAAGGCTCGCTGATAAATGCGAGATCGATCGCAAACAAAACTTTCATCATCCAGGCAGGGCTCGCAATTAACGATGTCCCGAGGACCATAAAAATTCCTACTGAGACACACATCTATTTTGTCTGGGACTATTTCGGGACAGTGAAAAAAAAATTAAAAGTAAACTTCAAAATGGGTGTTATTTGCAAAGTCATTGGGCTGTCAAATCATAGAATGCATTCTACGTCATCCACTCTGCTGCTGACTGCTGCTAGACTCGCGCCAATGCAACGGTCACGACAGTTAAAAAAAGTAGAAAGAAATGCTGAGGTGGTTGAATAAACAGCCCCTGATGCAAGCCCCAATTCTGCCGACTCCCGAAACGAAAACATCCCAAGTCCTGGTCATGATGCATCGTCTTCCACTGTGGTAAGTTAGTTGTCTTAAGTGTCAATGTTAGCTAGCACTAACTAACGCTAGCAACTGAAGTGTGCCTTACAATGCATACAAATGTCCTAAAATGCGGTGTCATGTTCTTTTGAAGTTTGTGAAAATGATGTGAAATACAGTTGATCAGAATAAGAGGTGTAGCCGATCATTTTTGTATTTTCTTTGTCAGCCAGTCAGTGACCAGGCTAGAATCTTTAGCTGCAAAAACATAAGGCATTTAGCTAATCATTTAGCTTTTCATCTTTTTTTAGTGTTTTAGTTTTTTTTGGTCAAGAACGTCAGTCAGATTGGGTGACGATTAGAAAGGGGGTCGCAAGGTAATTTTAGTTTGTCATGTTAAGAGAGAGTAATGTTCCAGTTGTTTTTGTGTGCCTGGGGGGGGGGGGGGGGGGGGGGGGGAGGGTGAATGAGTGAGAGCAAGATGATTGACATTCATGAATGAAGATACATTTATATTCCTATAGTACTACTGACTTGTGAGGATAACTTGTAATTAGAACTGAAAACAGATACATTTATTAAACTGTATTATGGAACTTCTGTTTTTTTATTATCATTCATACCACTTTTATTGCCAGATGGAGGGTTCCGATCATAAAACACAGAGACCATACAGCCATATTGAATTGAAAAATACAAATCAGAATTCTTCAATGTTGACATGACAATGATAAATTAGTCTGGATATTGAAAAACAATAGAAAAACATGTCTTAAAACAACTCTCCTCCCTTCTACTCTAGGAGAGGCAACAGATCAGACTAATATTCATATGTTTAAAAGAATAAGTATTTTAAACTTACATGGTGGACCAGAGTCTATGGTGTGATGATTAAGTGACAAAAAAGTATCAAATTATATGTATTCTGCATAATTGGGGGGGGCGACGATACAAATTAAAATTTGGGACACTGCTGGTTATATCCGGGACAATACAAAGTAGAATTCGGGACAGTTGTGGGACACTGAGGAAAAAAGTTAATTTCGAGCCCTGCATCCAGGACTTCTTCACGTCACATGCTGTGGATGTGCTTTTTATTACGGAAACCTGGATGTCTGCGGGTGAGTCTGCTGCTTTTACAGAGCTATTGCCTCCGGACTGCAGTTTCATTAATTCTCCACGGACCACGGGTCGTGGAGGAGGTATAGCCATATACCTCGCGTGAGGCTCAGGTTTGGGAAGGCCAAATACCTTTTTTTACCTGACGCTGCCCGCCTCCGGCGTCTATAGAAAAGAGATCAACTCAGTGTGCGGAGTTTAAATCTCTCAAGTCATATATAAAAATAAAATAAAATAAAGGAAATACAGTTTAAACTGCCGTATGCAGAGAAGACGCCGACGTGTCGCACTTATCATTCATATTACATCATCAATCAGATCATCGATCATATAATATCATAATATATCATATGTTTCCTTATCTGAGTCAGCTTCTCCAGCCCTATCTGGCCGTGCAACACTTACTGTGTCACATAGCAGAAGTATTATTTTAAGCAATACATTATGTTGACGAAACACTCGAGTCAAATGTAATTAAAGTCAGATCCACTCGTGTCTTAGACGGGGCAGTGATATCATAAAACTATACGCTTTCAAACACTCGGTAGGCTTAGTTATTTTTTAACCAGTTGTTCTGTATTCTCCTTGCAGGTGTAACTCTGTGGCTTGTTTCCTGGATTATATGTTTAAGTCATGGATGTTTAAAGCTCATATTTGTCTAATATTAGTTTACTTTTCATTAATGAAGTATGACACTGCGCTGTCAGTACACTTGTCCCTGTTTGTGATTGGTCAAATGTAGCTAACCCCGCCCCTTTCACATGAACTCGCTCTCAGCTGGTGAGAGAAAACCTGGCTTGATTTACCGAGTTGATAACCAGCGTCGTGGGACCACTTAGCGAGATCTCGTTTGTTAGTTTGTTGTTGTTAGTTAGTTTGTAACTCAAACATATCCAGGGTCTGTTGAACTGGCTTCGTAGTACAGGGCACAGGTGGCTAGCAGCGCTAATGTCAAAGACACAGACATTATACATTATATTTGTATTTTACCAGGATGCAGTGACACAAATATTTGGGAAGGCTTAGCCTTCCCTAGCCTACAGCACCCGCCGCCCCTGGGTATAGCGACTGTCTTTAGGAGCAGTTTATACTGCAAACCCACGCCGTCTATCTCATTCTCCTCCTTTGAACTGAGCCTGTTTGAGCTGGGACGGATTAATCCTGTACTGTGTGCGGTGGTCTACCGACCGCCCAAGTACAACAAATACTTTATAAAGGAGTTCTCTGAACTATTGGCCGGTATCGTGACAAACTATGACAGTGTTTTAATTGTCGGGGATTTTAATGTGCATGTCTGTTGTATCTCTAAACCACTAGCTAAAGACTTTCTTGATGTTTTATATGCTTTTGACTTCATACAACATGTCTCTGGCCCCACGCAAGAGCATGGGCACACATTAGACCTAGTCTTATCCCATGGTCTGCCCATTTCAAATGTCAATGTGTGTGAGGCAGCTTTATCGGATCACCTGCCTGTGCTATTTGATTTTATTCTGCCCTGTCATAGTCTTAAATCATGCGTTCCTGTCCGTCACGGTCGTATGATGAAACCTTCCACTGCTACTAGTTTCTCCCCTGCCTTTGTTAAATTAACACAGTCTGATACTATGTCCGCTGACTCCATGGACACTGAGCTATTAACCTCAGCCTTTCTCTCTTCCTGCACTGGAGCTCTTGACATTGTTGCTCCCCTGAAACTCATGCGCCCCAAAGTTAAATCTGAACCCTGGCTCAATGACGTCACTCGTGCTGCCAGGCGTGAGTGACGTATCAGAGCACTGTAAAAGCTGAAAAGATGAGTTACTTTTCTGATATAATTTCTAGTAATTTAAACAAACCTAGTGTTCTTTTTAAAACCATTGATGCTATGTTAAACTCTCCTTTATCCACTTGTATTGATGCTTCAACTGAGATGTGTGAAAAATTCCTCTGCTATTTTATAGACAAGATCTCCACTATTAGAGCCAGTATCTCACCACCCTCTTTTGACCCCTTCCATTGACTTCACATGCACTGCTGTCTTCCAGCAGTTTGGACCTGTGTCGTTGTCATCTCTCAGTGACATTGTTGCTAAATTAAAACCCTCATCTTGTCCCACAGACCCAGTCCCTCCTCGACTTTTTAAAGAGGTATGGGACACTATTGGATCTAATGTCCATAACATTATAAATAGCAGCCTAGAGTCCGGTTCTGTGCCAGTTTATTTCAAACAAGCGGTTGTGGCACCCCTGATAAAGAAAACTAATCTGGACACTTCTGTCTTCTCAAATTACAGACCCATCTCGAAGCTTCCTTTTATTTCAAAAATATTGGAGAAAACCCTACTCTTACAGCTGCAGTCTTTTATACATGCACACAATATTTTCGATATTTTTCAATCCGGTTTTAAAGCGCTCACAGTACTGAGTCTGCCCTTCTAAGAGTATTCAATGACCTCCTGGTCACTACAGACTCTGGTGACTGTGCCATCCTTATGCTCTTAGACCTCACAGCTGCTTTTGATACGATTGACCACTCCATCCTTATCTATCGTCTAGAGCACTGTGTGGGTATCAGGGGCACTGCCTTAGAGTGGTTCAGGTCCTATCTGTCCAAGAGATCTTTCTCTGTTACGCTTGGTGACTTTACATCCTCTTCTGCCCCCTTATCCTGTGGAGTTCCCCAAGGTTCTATTTTGGGGCCTATTTTATTTTCCTTATACCTTCTCCCCCTTGGACTGATTTTTAGAAAATATGGCGTCTCCTACCACCTTTATGCGGATGACTCCCAATTATATCTACCCCTAAGAAAAAACACCAGCTCTCTGATGCCCCTGGTTGACTGTCTTAATGACATAAAGGCCAGGATGGCTAAACTTTTAATATAAATGAGAGCAAAACGGAGGTAATTGTGTTTGGACCAAATGGTGATGTTTCCATTGACCTGGGTTCCCCTCCCAAAATCCATGGTCACAAATCTGGGTGTCAAAATCGACAGTGCTTTTAAATTAGATAAACAGATAAACTCTGTGGTTAAATCCAGTTTTTATCACTTGAGGCTCCTGTCCAAAATTAAACCGGTTTTATCCTTTTTAAACTTTGAGCGTGTAATTCATGCCTTTGTTTCAACTCGTTTAGATTATTGTAATGCACTTTATGCCGGCCTAAATAAGATTTGGCTGGCCTGCCTGCAGCTTGTACAAAACGCTGCGGCGCGGCTGCTTACAGGAACCCGCAAGTTTGACCACATCACACCAGTTCTGGCTTCCCTCCACTGGCTTCCTGTCCATTTTAGAGTCCATTTTAAGATGTTATTGTTTGTTTTTAAATCTTTTAATGGGCTGGCCCCAGAGTACATCTCCGACATCTTACAGTTGTACACCCCCTCAAGGGCTTTGAGGTCGGCTGATCAGCTGCTGCTTGTAGTCCCAAAAACAAAGAAAAAGACCAGGGGAGACCGAGCGTTCTCATCGGTAGCCCCCAGGCTCTGGAACGACCTGCCCCCTCATGTCAAATTGTCGCCCACTCTTGAAGCTTTTAAGTCCTGCCTAAAGGCCCACCTCTTTTCCCTCGCTTACCAGTCAGTCTGAGCTATGTCATACCTATTTGTATGCTTTTACTGTCTATCCATAGCCTTTATGTGCCTTGTATTTATTCTTATGTGTGCTTTTTATCTATTCGTGTAATATTATATTTTATTATAATGTTATGTTCATTGTGAAGCACTTTGGCAAACCCTCTGTTTTTAAACTGTGCTATATAAATAATATGGATTGGATTGGATTGGATCTCCGTTGTGCTTGGTGTGGGGAAAAGCTGTCCCACAGTGCCATGGTCCCAAGCAAGCTTAAACATCATCTCAAAAACACTGTCACTTCAGAACCAGAACAGTATTCAAAACAAACTGAGAAACAGGTAACTGTTATAAGAAAAAAAGTCATCATATCGGTGTATTAGGGTACAATGTGTCATTTTCTAAGTTTTGTGGTTGTTGGTGTGTCGCGGGAATTTTTTTATGTAATAGGTTGAAAAATACTGCTATACTGCACGTGCAGGCTCACCTAGCCTGGCAGCCAGTCCCAGCAGCCATTTGACGTCCTCAGTGTAAGGCGGGCTCCTGGAGAAGTTGTTGGGGTGGTCATTGTGAGCCCTCCTGCCCAGCATCTCCAGCGCCAGCATGCCTTCACACAAAAGAACAGTGGGGATCACATGTGTGCAGTCAACCTGTTGGACTACTGGCAGTTTGGTTAGATCAATACGAGTCCTCACCAACTCTGTAGGCAGAGTGCAGGTAGTGCAGGCCCTGTTGGCTAACTGGCTGGCTGTGCTGCTCGTCCTCTACTGGGAAAGCAGTGCCCATCATTGATCCGGGCTGGGAGGACAGGGATGTCCCCTGGATGGCCTGGATGGTGGGGCCCGCGTGGACGCTGCCCACTGTGAAACATGACAGGGACCCCGATTGTTACAAATTAATACAGCTCATGTATCAAGAGGCTTTACCTCCATGCAATGAGGTAAACAGAAACCCAGATGGAACACACTGACCTGCTACAGTTGTGAGGGGCAGCCCGCTCTCAGGGTGGTACGGGTGGACGGCGATCTGAGTCATGGACGGTACCGGGACCCCGGGGAAGGTCACAGCCGTGGCTGCCATAGGGGGCTGGGGTCCAGTGGCCACTGAGAACGGGTACTGGGCTCCGATAAAGGCTGGGTGGATTCCCTAAGGGGGTACACACACACAAACACATATTTATACTGTATAGGTACATGTGAACACCTGCACTCATACCACTTCCAAGAAAAATGCAAGAAATGTGAGAAATTTAAAAACAGCAACAGACGTAAATTGTCTGTTTCAGAATAGAATGCACACAAGCTCTATGGACCATCTTCTATTGTTATGAAATTGTTTGAGTTTTGAATATCAATTCACCTGCCGCTCATTTTCTATAAAAGGTCAGAGATCAGTTTGAATCAGAAGGTACAGACCTCTCAGACATTGCACTGACCAATCAATGCTAACAGCTAACATACACAATAGCTGAGGCTTTTTGCTTGAAAATGACTTCATGATGACCGTTAATGATCCGACTGATTTATTGACTTATCACTCAAGATCTAATGCATGTGAGGTAAGAAACTCAGCAGCCATTAGCACAACTCTCTTTCTCCACCTCAACTAAGCAGAGGTGGAAAGCAGTGGAGTACAAATACTTTGTTACTGTAGGCCTACTTAAGTACATTTTTCTGGTATCAGTACTTTACTCCACTACTTATTTTTCTGACGACTTTTTACTTCTTACATTTTTAACCCAAATACCTGTACTTTCTACTTCTTACATGTTGAACCCAAATACCTGTACTTTCTACTTCTTACATGTTGAACTCAAATACCTGTACTTTCTACTTCTCACATGTTGAACTCAAATACCTGTACTTTCTACTTCTCACATGTTGAACTCAAATACCTGTACTTTCTACTTCTCACATGTTGAACTCAAATACCTGTACTTTCTACTTCTTACATGTTGAACCCAAATACCTGTACTTTCTACTTCTTACATGTTGAACACAAATACCTGTACTTTCTACTTCTTACATGTTGAACACAAATACCTGTACTTTCTACTTCTTACATGTTGAACTCAAATACCTGTACTTTCTACTTCTTACATGTTGAACACAAATACCTGTACTTTCTACTTCTTACATGTTGAACACAAATACCTGTACTTTCTACTTCTTACATGTTCAACACAAATACCTGTACTTTCTACTTCTTACATGTTGAACCCAAATACCTGTACTTTCTACTTCTTACATGTTGAACCCAAATACCTGTACTTTCTACTTCTTACATGTTGAACACAAATACCTGTACTTTCTACTTCTTACATGTTGAACCCAAATACCTGTACTTTCTACTTCTTACATGTTGAACACAAATACCTGTACTTTCTACTTCTTACATGTTGAACACAAATACCTGTACTTTCTACTTCTTACATGTTGAACTCAAATACCTGTACTTTCTACTTCTTACATGTTGAACTCAAGTACCTGTACTTTCTACTTCTTACATGTTGAACTCAAATACCTGTACTTTCTACTTCTTACATGTTGAACCCAAATACCTGTACTTTCTACTTCTTACATGTTGAACTCAAATACCTGTACTTTCTACTTCTTACATGTTGAACACAAATACCTGTACTTTCTACTTCTTACATGTTGAACCCAAATACCTGTACTTTCTACTTCTTACATGTTGAACACAAATACCGGTACTTTCTACTTCTTACATGTTGAACCCAAATACCTGTACTTTCTACTTCTTACATGTTGAAAACAAATACCTGTACTTTCTACTTCTTACATGTTGAACACAAATACCTGTACTTTCTACTTCTTACATGTTGAACCCAAGTACCTGTACTTTCTACTTCTTACATGTTGAACTCAAATACCTGTACTTTCTACTTCTTACATGTTGAACCCAAGTACCTGTACTTTCTACTTCTTACATGTTGAACCCAAATACCTGTACTTTCTACTTCTTACATGTTGAACACAAATACCGGTACTTTCTACTTCTTACATGTTGAACACAAATACCTGTACTTTCTACTTCTTACATGTTGAACTCAAATACCTGTACTTTCTACTTCTTACATGTTGAACACAAATACCTGTACTTTCTACTTCTTACATGTTGAACACAAATACCTGTACTTTCTACTTCTCACATGTTGAACACAAATACCTGTACTTTCTACCTCTTACATGTTGAACTCAAATACCTGTACTTTCTACTTCTTACATGTTGAACACAAATACCTGTACTTTCTACTTCTTACATGTTGAACACAAATACCTGTACTTTCTACCTCTTACATGTTGAACCCAAATACCTGTACTTTCTACTTCTTACATGTTGAACTCAAATACCTGTACTTTCTACTTCTTACATGTTGAACTCAAATACCTGTACTTTCTACTTCTTACATGTTGAACTCAAATACCTGTACTTTCTACTTCTTACATGTTGAACTCAAATACCTGTACTTTCTACTTCTTACATGTTGAACACAAATACCTGTACTTTCTACTTCTTACATGTTGAACTCAAATACCTGTACTTTCTACTTCTTACATGTTGAACTCAAGTACCTGTACTTTCTACTTCTTACATGTTGAACTCAAATACCTGTACTTTCTACTTCTTACATGTTGAACACAAATACCTGTACTTTCTACTTCTTACATGTTGAACACAAATACCTGTACTTTCTACTTCTCACATGTTGAACACAAATACCTGTACTTTCTACTTCTTACATGTTGAACTCAAATACCTGTACTTTCTACTTCTTACATGTTGAACTCAAGTACCTGTACTTTCTACTTCTTACATGTTGAACTCAAATACCTGTACTTTCTACTTCTCACATGTTGAACTCAAATACCTGTACTTTCTACTTCTTACATGTTGAACTCAAATACCTGTACTTTCTACTTCTTACATGTTGAACTCAAATACCTGAACTTTCTACTTCTTACATGTTGAACTCAAATACCTGTACTTTCTACTTCTTACATGTTGAACTCAAATACCTGTACTTTCTACTTCTTACATGTTGAACTCAAATACCTGTACTTTCTACTTCTTACATGTTGAACTCAAATACCTGTACTTTCTACTTCTTACATGTTGAACACAAATACCTGTACTTTCTACTTCTTCCATGTTGAACTCAAATACCTGTACTTTCTACTTCTTACATGTTGAACTCAAATACCTGTACTTTCTACTTCTTACATGTTGAACACAAATACCTGTACTTTCTACTTCTTACATGTTGAACACAAATACCTGTACTTTCTACTTCTTACATGTTGAACTCAAATACCTGTACTTTCTACTTCTTACATGTTGAACACAAATACCTGTACTTTCTACTTCTTACATGTTGAACTCAAATACCTGTACTTTCTACTTCTTACATGTTGAACTCAAATACCTGTACTTTCTACTTCTTACATGTTGAACACAAATACCTGTACTTTCTACTTCTTACATGTTGAACACAAATACCTGTACTTTCTACTTCTCTCATTTTCCAAACAGCTGGTTCCTTTAGTCTGAATGTGTGTTTGATGCGTGATCATTATTCTTTAGAGTCATTGCGTGCCTATTGATTTGAACACGATCCGTGTATCCATCATTTCCTGGTCTTCTCTAAAGAAGAGGGACCAATGGAAACGTTGTCATGTTGCCGTTGTTCAGCATGGAAACATTCATTAGCTAACAATGACATTATTGTTCTATTAATATAAAGGGAGGTCAGGTACTCTTTAAAACAGCTGCTAGTTATGGGTACTTTTTACTAAAAGGTCTCCCATTATGCTATTTTTAGGCATATATTATAAGTCTCAGATATATATATATAAATATATAAAAACATGTATATGATGTGTTTTGCTCAAAATACCAAACACGAGTATCTGTACTTCTACTTGAGTAAAGGATGTGTGTACTTTTGCCATCTCTGCAGCTAAGTGGCTCGACCAAAAATCGTTTATAAATGTGCTATATAAATACAACTTGATTTGATTTGAAGTATTGAAGATTTTTGGAATATTTGTTTTATTTTTCAAATTTCTATAGTTTTAAAAGTGAATATAAATTGCCAATGTGGAAATATACTAAAACAGAAGCTAGTAGTTGATGAAAAAAAATGAGCTGATCAGCAAAAAACTAACAAATCAATCAATTGTAAGTATATCAAAAGAAAACCGTGAGCAGATTAATGCTTTAAATATTTTCATTTAACGTGTGAGCTGTTTTGACCTGTGGATATGCAGCTCCGGCGATAGGGAAGACGGTGGGCCGGGGGACGTGCTGCAGAGGGTGTCCCAGGTACTGGGGGGTGCAGACGGTGGGGAGATGGGCCTGAATGGTGGTGTAGGGGTGGAGCCCCTGGCTGTGGGGGTGAGCCATGGCCTGCCCCGGCATGATGTGGGACTGATAGATGGTGGAGCCCACAGATATGACGGGGACCACGGCTGCTGCAGTGACGGAGGCGGTGATCGTTGCCACGCCAGCAGACTCCATGCCTGCTCTGGTGTCAATCACCACACAGCTGGACTCCTGGGGCCTCCTGCCCGAGCCCCCGTTGGCCCCGCAGCGCCCTGACGTCTCCCGATGCTGGCCTGAGCCCCCACCCACTGACTGCTCATACAGCCAGTACCACTGGTGGGCTACCTCAAACAGGACCTCAGGGTACACCCCCCCACCCTTGGCTGCTTCCTCCACTGCCATGCAGGCCTTCTCCAGCATCACATTGTCCTGGAGAAAGAAGGGAAGACATAATAAGAGCCAAGCTAAATACCTTTTTAGACTTCAGGTGATTTAAGGGAAACAAGCATCCATCTATGGAAACACTACCCAGCTGTCAGTTAGAATCTGTTGTTTCATTTTATTACATTTTGAAATTAGAAGATGCACATACTATGTTGCTGGATTAACTCAAGATGATCATCAGACCAATCATCTCCATGTTCTTCACAGAAGTCATTCAATTGTGTTGCTCGACACTTCCTTTGTTGGCTTTTCTAAACTGTATATTATTCTGCTACCGCTATTAAAACTGCAATACTGGATTCATTTCCCAAAACACCTGGCATCCTGCTACACTATGAAGGCTCATAAATATATATATTAGGGCCGGGACTCGATTAAAAAAATTAATCTAATTAATTAGAGGCTTTGTAATTAATTAATCGAAATTAATCGCATTTTTAATCACATATACATATTTGACCTAAGAACAGTGAGAAGCAATTTTTTTCACATGGATTTTAGTATACCATTAGGCGCATTCACACCGCAGTACTTTTCCCACAAAGGTTCATGAGAACTTAGTTCATGAGAACTCTTTGAACCTGGGGGAGGATAAGGCAAATGAAGCCGCTGACGTCACTTCTTCTTCTTCTGCTTTGGGTTTACTGGCAGGCCGCAAACCACTTCACGGCGTATACTGCCGCCCAAAGTCCCCGGCCGGAAGTCCCCGGAGTTGGGGACTGGCTTCAGTAGAAGCTGCTGGGAGTCCCAGCAGCCTTCCGAGTAAATCGCCAGAACGCCGACACCTCCTCATCTCCACCGCTCCCATGTTTTATTTTGTGTTGCCATAAGTTAGTCTCTCTGCGTTTCTGCGCTGGGCTAATGCTAATAATGCTAATGCGAGGATAATAAAATGGCGGCTTCACAAAACTTTTTGGGAGTTTTACGGGGCGTGGTTTGCAATCCGCCCAGCCAATCAGAAATATAGCTCTTTCCTCACAAGAGAACCGCACGAAAGTCCCTGCTCTCTAGCAGGGACTTTCGTGGGGGTAAAAAGGTTCTCATTAACTAATTTTAGTACCGGCTCTTTTTGGTGTGAACGCGATAAAATAGGCTAACGTCCACGCTAGCTGCTATATGTTTTGCATTGAGGTGATACTTGAGGCTTGATGTGCTGCGGTGATATGCGAATTCCTTTTTGCATAATTTGCACACAACCGTGCTCTTATCGACGCTTCCATCCGTCCGTTTTTTAAAACAACATTTCCCACTGTTGTTCACTGTGGTTTGTTGTTGTCTGAAGTCATGAACGTTAGTTGGTGCTCCAGTATAATCGGTACGCCTGAAACTCATCCAGTGAGAAACGTTCCGCGGTGCAAAAATAAGTGCGATTAAAATGCGTTAATTTTTTTAACGCGTTAATTTTTGTGTAATTAATCTTAATTAACGCGTTAAAGTCCCGGCCCTAATATATATATATGTATATATATGTGTATAAGCAGAGCCTTGGTGTACCTGCTCTTTGCACTGCACCAGGGCTCTCTGGATCTCATTAGGGTTGAGAGCGTGAGCGTGAGGCAGGCAGCTCAGGGCCAGCTCCGCTGCCGCCCGCACCATGTTGGGGTCCCTGGCCCGCGACGCACGGTCGGCAAGTGATGCTACCTCTGGGGGGGTGAGGTGTCCGTCCCAACACTCCACCAAAATGTTGAGGGCTGCGCTGCCGATCTCCATTGCCTGGCCTGAGAGAAGAGGAGAGGTTACAGTGTGCTGGCAGGGAAGGAAGGAAGGAAGATGGTAAGGTAGGAAGGTAGAAAGTAAGGGAGATAGTAAGGAAGGAAGTAAGGAAGGAAGTAAGGAAGGTAGGAAGTCAGAAAGTAAGGGAGGAAGTAAGGGAGGTAGGAAACTTGTGAACTGATTCAACTTGTGAATACATGAAATACAATGAAAGTGGGTCTCTTGATGTCTTCTGTCACACACACCAGTAATCCAGGACACATGGGAGGAGTAGGTTCTGGACAGCCAGTTTGGTGAAACAAAGTTGTGGAGGCCAAGAGCATACAGGCCAATCTCAAAGGCACACAGGTGCAGGTTTCTGTGGGGCCCCTGGTGGCCCCCGCTGGCTGACGGCTGGGTGAAAATGGAGGTGGAGGAGTTTCCTCCAGCTTTGATTAGCACTGTCTTGGCTAGCTCAAAATAAAAATGTGCTGCTGCCTCTGACGGCTGGTTGGGCACGTGGGGGGCGTGACATTCTGGACGCCGCCCTTTGTACCTGAACACAGGGAAATATACACATGTGAATTAGATTAATCTCAGTGGCTCAGAATAAACACACACACATCTAGTGAAAATCTGATTTGTTTTCAGGAAACCTGCCCAACAAAGCAGGCAAGCCTGTCCTACTCCATCTTAGCTTCACCTCACCTCTCAACAGCATCTCTACTGTCCTCTCAGTCGTCATGTGGACTGTAGGCTCTCTGTGTTGTTTATTATGTTATCTGTCATTTTTCATATTTTGCTCTTGCTTTGAATGTCTGATAAATAACTGGAAATAAACTTTAACAACAAACTGAAAGCATATCGCAGCAGACAACAATATGAACGGTGTTAAAACTATTTTATATCACTTGGCAGATTTCCTACTGTACATGCAAACCGAGGTCATAAGAGAGTTCATTGCTCATTATCACTTCGATAATGTGTATATTTTATGTGTGTGTCCTAAAGGCTTTCATTGTGAACTGATCTCTGCTTGATATCTGAGGTGTGTCTTCTAAAGCTGTGAACATGTCATTTCTCTTTATGATAGCATTAGCTCTCAATTAGCATTCTGCCACAGATTACTCAGATCATCAGTTTGGCCATTTAGCTGAAGCCAGACTTTAAGCAGTGACCGTCACTTTTATTGTGGTGGATTTAAGCTGCAGCCACACGAGGACGATAACGGTCGTATCCGCTACAGTTCTCTATCAGATAGGCAGTTCGGCCACACGAGGCCGACAGGGAAACGCAGATAACGATAACGGGTCCCAAGGTGGGTAGATCTGCGGACGAAACGCTATGGGGGGCCAAACGGCTCCGTGTCTACGCCTATACGATCATTTCCTGATAACGATGACGCAATAGCCCCAGTGTTTCGAGCCAGGTCCCGGTATCTCGCAGGACAGTGCACCCAGCAGGAGCTTCCAGCTAGATTTTGATCGATATGGACATAAACGCGAGTGAAGTCTAATCGGACAGGAGAGGAGACACGCAGCTCGGCATGACAACCTGCAGCTCCGCCGCTGTGATGGAGCGATGAGCGGAGCAAAACACACACTTCAAGTTAAATCATCACACCTTAATGACCTCTCAAACTACCTAAACTAGTTATAAATATGTTTATTTTGACTGTCGGGTCACTCACTCATTACTGGATCAGCCAGCTGCATGAGACCACGGATACTGATGGGCTGTCAGGAGAGGGGGAGGAAAAGAGAGGCTCCGTCCTCCGTGTATTATTATATAGAGTCGTTATTCATTTGTTTTAAAGCTCAATAAATAACAAAGAAGAACTTAGACCTGCACTTTTCTAATTTTGTCCGGAAGATTTAAACTTTAACGGACATGTTGACCGGCGAAATCCCACCTCTGCTGCTAAATCCAGCGTGGAGAATAAACAGAAGGGCAACCATGCATGCATACGTACTACAGCGTCTCCAGCGGTTCGAGCAAAAGGATTCACACTTGTGTTTTTCAATGCACACACAAATGTGTTCCGTTTTATATACATGTAAATAAAATCCAAATACAGAAAAAAGCTTTACATATGTATTTTTGATCCTCACATATTTTTTTTCCGTTTAAAACCTCTGCACCTGCAAACACAAACAGCTTTCTGTGCACGGATCGCTGTGCGTTCGTGTGTGGGTTTTTTGAGACTCCCCTGACGGTCAGCCGATTCGTACTTGAGAGCTGGATCTGATCGATATGGACATAAACGCGTTACAGGCTTGGCCTGTCACTTTAAGAGTAGCAGCCGCAAGGGGTTGTGGGTTTTTGGAGTGTGTGTGTGTAAAATGTGATGGCCAAGGCGAAGTGCGGAGTTATGAAGAGAGAGACGAAAGTATAGAGAAAGTGGTCAGAACGGGGAAAAGTAACTAGTCTATGCAATACAGTGTCAATGTAACTGGTTAGTCTGAAGAACGTGAATAAACGGAGGTCCTTCCTACGGCACCCGAACGCCCCGTTTCCATCCTTTTTCCCCTCGAAATGTCTGGGCAGCTGGTTACCGGCTGACAACGAGCCAAGTCAGAAATGTTGTGGAAATAATTATCATAAGACGCCAATTAGTAACATACAGGACAAACCTTGATGTCTGTTTACCTTCTTTAAGGACACAGGCGGCTTAGCCAATAATGTTATTGTTCCCATTCTGTGACCGGTCAATACTGGGATACAGATGGTCTGTGTTGTGGGTACACTGGGACACTTCCTTCTCTGTATTTGTGGACTCCAAGGTAAAATCTTCGAGGTCATAAGTGTCCGAGGCAAGTAGCTCTGTGTTCCCACACTGTTTAGGCTATCTCCTCAAATATGTTGTTTACTCTCTGCGAAACCAGTTAGATGGGCTGGCAAGAGAGAGGCTCTCCAGAATTGACGTGGCAACTCTACCGTGAAGTCAGAACCTCTGACTCTTGGACTTGTGATGTGAATCCTCCGGCCGTTAACTCCAAATAAACCATCATGTGTTTGACATCAAAGCTACTGCTCTTCCCGTGTCTCCTTCCTGAGTCGGTGACTCCCACTGCATAGCTACACAGAAGTTTCCTCTACAAGAAACCACCGGTGTGTAACCGAAACTACGGTTTCGGTGCCGAGATACCGTTAGTAAAAAGGTAACAAACGCGAGTGAAGTATAACCGGACGCAAGAGAGAGATCAGATCAGCTGCTGAGTCTGACGGAGACACGCAGCTTTGCATGATCACCTGATGCTCCGCCCTCTGTTTAGCGAGCTGACCGGACAGCGCAAAATGCGTACATGAAGCGCTACGTCATGAACGCAAGAAATCTACCCTCGTGGGGGCGCGCTCATGTGATTGGCTTAGAATGGAGGAGACATCTGATTGGCTATAGATAGAAAAAATGACAAGTACGAATCGGCTGACCGTCAGGGGAGTCTCAAAAAACCCACACACGAATGCACAGCGATCCGTGCACAGAAAGCGGTTTGTGTTTGCAGGTTCAGAGGTTTTAAAACGGAAAACAAATATGTGAGGATCAAAAATACATATGTAAAGCTTTTTTCTGTATTTGGATTTTATTTACATGTATATGAAACGGAACACATTTGTGTGTGCATTGAAAAACACAAGTGTGGATCCGGAAATACAAGTGTGTGAATCCTTCTGTGTGCATGTGTGTATTATGAGACTGTTCTGAGCCCATACTCGTGTGGCTGCAGCCTTAGAGTTGTACTTTAAGGGTTACGTTATGACTGCAGAGTTTTGTGTGGCCGAAATGTAATTACACATAGGGGCTACGGCAGCTATAGATGTACCACCTGGACACCACAAGAGCTGTGACTGCTGAGCTCAGACAGTTTCAGATGCTGGAGGAGATAGTTGAGAGTGAAGAAAACATTATGGAAGTTAAAGAAGGCTCAGTATATTTTCCGTTTCATTAACACATATCTAGAAAATACATTTTTACCGCAAGCCTGCGAGGCCGGCACTCTATCACAGTGAATGAAAGAAGTAATGAGACAAGGAGAAATAGAAGTTACCTGGATGTGACTCCAGTTCTATAAGTAGGTTCATAGCCCACCATCGCTCTGTATCACAAAGTCAATGAAAGAATGTAAGCACAGTTACTGTGGGGAATAGGATTTAAAACAGGATATGGCCTGATACAAGTCATCAGTCTATTGTTGTAGTGTGGACATCAAATGGTCAAATGAGGAGAATAGTTGTCTACAGCGGACTGTTGTTGACCCCTGGTGTAAGTACAAACTTTTGCCTCCGTAATAAACACCTGCTGCTGTCAGTCACAGTAGACGTTAATCTGTTGATGGGACTTCAGGTAACTCAGCTATTGTGTGAGTGAGTTCATGAGAAAGAAGTGTGTTTACCTGCTGGTGTCCGTGCTCTTGGCCCTGGCCCCGCCCCCTGCCCTCCGAGAGCCGCTGGAGGAGGAGGAGCCCAGTGAATCAGATGATGAGCTGCTGATGCTGTCACTGTCCTGGCCCCGCCCCCAAGATGTTGCTGCCCAGCCGCCCCGGAGCGGCCGGCGGCTGAGGGTGGGGGAGCTGTCAGAGGTGGTCTCTGGAGCGCTGCTGTCGATGCTCGCCATGCCTGTCCAACAAACAGCTCTGTTACTGGAGCCATTTCACAAAGAGCACAAATACGACTAGAACTAACTTTCACTTTTTCATTTGGCGGACTACCATGTTATTTAGGTGCATCCATTAAGTTACACCTGTATCATGTAATGCAATTCAACAGCTCTGACAAAGATTCAATCTTTAAAAACACACACACACACACACACACACACACTACCCGTGTGTTTCTTCTTCTGGCGCACAGGCGAGCCCCAGCAGCGCTGGCTGTATCCGCAGCGGGCCCCCAGAGCCAGCCGACTGGGCACCGTGGCCTCCGCCTTAATAGGCGCCATCTCATTCTGGTGCTCAGCTGATGAAGCAGGCCCATCTGACAGGGTGAGGAAAGAGTACGATGTTACCACAGCGTCATCACCACTGCTAAACCAACATTGAAATCAGAGTCAAAGGGGAATAAGCATTTGATTTTACAGTTTTAGAGCCTCCACAGTGTTCTATGAGAGGAGGGGTTCTCACCATGCTCCCGGGGCTCAGCAGTGCACTCTCCGGCTGTGTTGTTCTGCACTGGGTTCAGATCAGCCTGCTGCGCCACTTCCCCAGATCCCGTGGCAGCAGAGGAGGAGGCTGCCACAGTGGCAGCAGAGGAAGAGGAGGGTCCATGTTTGGAGACGCCCCCTGCTGCCCCGCTCACCCCACTATGGTTGGCAGCAGAGTGTTTGGAAGGGCTGCGCTGGCTGCCAGCTGCTGGCTTGCTGGAGTAGAATGAGCTCAGAGTCTGGGGCTTATGGGTCTGACTCTCCCTGTCCAACAACTTATCCAGTATCTGAGGATGGGGGAGAGAAAGACACATCGTAAACTCCCATAGCTTAATTTCTTAGTAATTGTGTTAAAGGTCCCATGTCATGGTCATTTCTACTGATCATAATGCCATTGTTGAGGTATACTAAAATAGATTTATATTGTGCTTCGAAATCGCATTGGTTTCTCATACAGCATCTCTGTATAGTATGTGTGTTCACTCTGTCCTAAACGGCTTGTTGGAGCTCCTTTTTTCATGAGTGTATTATCGGCAGGAAAGAAAGCTCCATCTTGGCGCTGCTTATACTTTGAGGCTTCAACCTCAGAACCCCTTAAACTTCAATCTGAGCTGTTCCTCTTCATTAAGGTATTTTGTTTTTCCAAAGTTTTGGATCCTTTTGAGGGTGTGAAAGACGACCCCCACAAGGTGACATGCAAACTCCGCAGGAAAAAGTTGCCTTCCACATCCATGCTGTCGGAGCGTAGCTTCCCGAATGCCGGCATTGTTGTAAAACACAGAGCTTAATTATCCCAGACACACATGTGTTCCTTTATCATAATCTGAGGAAAACAGCGACAGTGAGTCAGGCAGTAGCCTAGTCTTATATAAATATACAGTTGAGGCCTAAATTATTAGCCCCCCAGGAGTTATGGAACATTTTCCTAAAATTCTTCCCAAGGTTTCCAGCATTGATAAAACTTGATATAATCAAACATTCACCAGTGCTATTTAGTAGCTTTTGGTACATTTTGGAAAATAAAATAAGTTTTTAGGCTTGCTTTATATCTAATATAGTGACAAATGGGTTGGTCAAAAAATATTAGCCCCCATGTGAATTTTTGCTTTCAAACCACACCTAATCAATCAATCAGCTTTCAAACCACACCTAATCGGCTTTCAAACCACACCTGAGCATTCAATCAGCATAAAAGGACTCCAAGAAACAGGCACTTGAATACCTTATTGAGAGGGACTATACTACTACTCCTACTCACCATGCCAAAGACAAAGGAAATCAGTATTGAGCTCAGAAAGAAGATAGTGGAGGCTCATAATAAGGGGGAAGGCTATACTGCTATTTCCAAGCGCTTCACAGTGTCTAGAACTGCTGTACTTTGCATCATTGCGAAGTACAAGGAGACAAATCATGTAAGAAACAAACCTAGGTGTGGTCGAAAGCGCAAGATTTCAAGAACTCTGGAGAGGCAAATAGTCAGAGATGTCAGCAAGAATCCCCGGACATCTGCCAAGATGATTGTTGCTGACCTGGCCTCTTCTGGAGTTGATGTTTCAAGGAACACAGTTGTGAGGGCTCTTCATCGTGGTGGGCTTCAGGGCCATCGTCCCAGAAGAACCCCTTTACTCAAAGGGTGGCACATCAGCCAGACTGAGGTTTGCCCGTGAACCTTTGAAAGGTAAAGATGAGTTTTGCAAGTCTGTGCTTTGGTCTGATGAGACTAAACTGGAACTGTTTGGGCAGATGGATGTTGCTTATGTTTGTCGAAGAAAGGGAGAGGCCTTCAACCCTAAGAACACATCATGCTGTGGGGCTGTTTTGCAGCCTCAGGCACAGGGAGCCTTGTTCGGGTGCAAGGCATCATGAAACATTTAAATTATGTTGACATTTTGAGGGATAACATGAAAAAAATCTGCTCTTAGTCATCGCTTAGGTCGTCGCTGGGTCTTCCAACAAGACAATGATCCAAAGCACACATCAAAATTGGTCCAACAGTTCCTAAAGGACACCAAAACCAAGGTGCTGGAGTGGCCCGCACAAAGCCCAGATCTTAATCCTATTGAGAATCGGTGGCAGGTGCTCAAATTGAATGTCCATGCTCGGAAACCACGCAATTTGGACCAGCTGGAGCAATTTGCAATGGAAGAATGGGCCTAAATCCCTCAAGAGACCTGTGCCAACCTAGTAAAGAACTACTCTAATGCCCCTTTCACACCAACGCGTTTTCAGCTCCGGCTCGGAGCTGGAGCCTGAAAAGTACCGTTTTTTCCTGTTCACATCGCAGAGGCGCCGCCTCTTAGCTCCGGAATCCGGTTCACTTCCAGCTCCAAAAAATTGTCGGTCTAGAGGCAAGAGCTTCGGAGCTAAAAGGCGGCGTCGCTTACGTCTCTCTTACGTCGAGGCGGGGGCAGGGGCAGATTCGTCGTTGAAGTAGATGCTGAAGACCACAAAGAAGTCTTGCATTTCGCATGTGATGTTTGTAAAGTTCCAAGTAAAGTCGTCCCTTGTAAAGTCGTCCGAAGCCTTCCATTTCGTTTCGTAAGAGGATAACCAAAGCGAACAGCGCTTCAATACAATCGGCCATTGTTGTTGTTGTCGATGTGAGGGATATCCGCGCGGTTTGGATTTTATGAAGCAGGCACGTAAATGGTGACGTCATGACGCAGCAATCAATCAATCAATGTTTATTTATATAGCCCAATATCACAAATGTTACATTTGTCTCAGTGGACTTTACAGTTTGTACAAAATATCAGTATGACAATACGACACCCTCTGTCCTTAGACCCTCACATCGTACAAGGAAAAACTTCCGAAGAAAACCCACAGTTTAAAGGGAAAAATGGGAGAAACCTCAGGGAGAGCAACAGAGGAGGGATCCCTCTCCCAGGACGGACAGACGTGCAATAGATGCCGTGTGTAAATTGAAAAGATAATACATTTGCAACATAGGTAGTCCAAATGTTTGGAAATGCATGTGTGTATAATAGGAAGATGAATCCACGAGGATATCCATCCAGGACCTATGATCCAGGACCACAGCCACGACTCAAGATCCAGGGCTCGCGATCCAGGACAGAGGAGTGCAGGATCATCCATGACTCCGGATCCCGGCAGCGGCAGCTCTGGGCGGTGTGAACAGAGCGGGAGCAGAAAAGGGAAACCGGAGCTGAACCAGAAAAGCTCCCGCTCGGAGCTAGAAAGGGAAAAGCGCTGGTGTGAAAGTCGCATAAGAGCTTGTTGTCAGTTGTGGCTCAGAAAGGGTACACTATTGACTATTAATGGCCTGGGGGCTATTATTTTTGACCAACCCATTTGTCACTATATTTGATATAAAGCAAGCCTAAAAACTTATTTTATTTTCCAAAATGTACCAAAAGCTACTAAATAGCACTGGTGAAAGTTTGATTATATCAAGTTTTATCAATGCTGGAAACATTGGGAAGAATTTTAGGAAAATGTTCCATAACTCCTGGGGGGCTAATAATTTATGCCTCAACTGTATATAAATAGTAATTCTGACCTCAGAAAACAAGATGTGAGGAGGTATTTTTACCAACGTGCAAAAGAGTGTGTCCGTTTGCTGTGTATCATCCATTGGTTTGTTATATTTATAAACATTTTAAATATAAATACTGTTTATTTTCACTTCGTTCTTTTTAAAACTAAATGTTGAGTGAGTCCTCGCTGCTCTTTCCGACACATAAAGAATGATCACTGACGCTTCAGTTTTTGCCGGCGCTGTGCCTCACGTTGTGTAAAATGTAATTTATATTAAAATCTTTAATAGGTAGCACAATGTACTGAATAACGTCCCTCTAGCTCAGGGGTGGGCAAACTTTTTGGCTCGGGGACCACTATGAGTTTTAAAATTTGACAGACGGGCCGGGTCAGTAGCAGATCGGTGAAAAAATATTTAGCTGTCCACTCCTCATTATACACTCGGCACTCATTGTCGACTTTTCTTTTCTTTGTTCCACTCATTGTTACAGATGCAGGTTCAAAGGTGAATTATTGCGTCATCGTTTGCGTTATCGTTTGCGTCATGACGTAAGCGTTTACGTGCCTTCTTATGACCCACACACATCGCTGATTTTCTCCGCTCACAACAACATCAACAGAGGACTGCGTCGGGTAGTTTTTAATCATACGAAGCCAGATTAAATTAAAGAACTACTTCTCCAACCTTATACTTTTCTCCAGAGTGCCATGGTTCATTGTTTATTAATGTGGTTTAGCTGCATTACCGCCCGCTGCAGTGCTGCTCGTCTACCGGAGTTTAGTCTCCCGTTAACTCACGGCAGCGGCCGCTGTAAAGTCTTCATTGTGCGACTGTCACACAAGCAGCTGATAAATATCCCCCATCCCCATCAGTGAATGTGCTTTAGTCTGAATTGACGCTGTTTGGCATCAAAACGCAGTTATGAAAGTGTATCTGGCATTCTACATTAGCATAGCAACCAAAGCTAATCAGTCTATCTTGACTACTTGTTGCTATCATATTGTGGCATAAGCCGTTTTCATCACCCATATTTTACCGGCGTATTTTTGGTTATGATTTTACTTGTGATGGCCACATGTAGCCCATGTAATGATTCATCCGATAGCTGCAATAATACAAAACAACAGGAAAACGTCTGCCTCTTCACAATGGTCAATAACAGTGAACGGATGGTTATTAAAGTAAGGTCAAATAAACAGAATCACACTAAGCCTGGTTAGTGTTGCCTGACTTTATATAAGTGTTTTTTATAAGTGTGTGGTCGCGTTCTAGTCACTTAGCTCAGCGCTACTGCTTGTTACAACTTGTATTCGCTGTACTCGCCATGAACTGTTATTGCTCAGGTTAATCTCGACCCCCTCCAATGTAAGCGTGATGTATTTGGTTCTTGGATCTTGCCGGGTTGCCGAGTGGGGCCAGCTGAGAGAATAGACTAGACTCCAGCAAAGGTCAATTGTGTCTAGAGTGCGCCATCTAGTGGGATCAACTGAAATGCCGGGTATTGCAGGAAAAAGACTAAATGAATGCGGTCTTTACTATAATTTGGACAATTTTGTACCAATATTCGGCGGGCCGGATTAAAAAGCCCAACGGGCCGTATATGGCCCGCGGGCCTTAGTTTGCCCATGCCTGCTCTAGCTCTTGAACTGAAAACATTTTGTGAAAAATAATTCATAAAAAATATAAATAATCATAATATATCATCAAATATGTGATACATGTAAGGTTTTATGCAAGTATAAACATATGCCAAAACACTTTAATCACCAAAAACATGTGTGTAATGCCTAGTTTAATTGTTGGCCATGAGGGTTGTGCAATAGGTCGTCATTGTCAGTATGTTGTCTGTGTGTACCTGAGTGCAAACTGTGTACATACGTTTGTGTTAACACATTTCCTTATGGGGGACTATTTGGTATATCATATATGTGAAAGTAGTAAAAACTGGAACCCTATTTCAAAAGCCAGTTGAATTCTTTACCCTGGCTTACTCTGTTACCATGTCAAACCTAACACTAATCTAAATTCAAACGGTTGGAGGGTAATGAGGAGATTCGGTGACTACCTTCTTGAGCTTGCTCTGGTCGTCCTTGTAGGTGATCATTAGAGCCAAAGCCAGGTCACCTTTTACCCGCCGAGTTCCTTCACACAGCAGAGGATGCTCCGCCTCGCTCACTGTGGTCTTCATACCTTTAGACACACAGAGGAGAGATCAGAGCAGGAAGTGAGGGGGTGTACAGTGGACAGTGTGGACAAATGTACAAATAGGGGATTAGAGAAGTGGTGAGGAGAGAAAAAAGCAAAATTGAGAAGCAGAGCGAGACAGAAGTGAAGGAACACATTTACCAAGTGCAGCGACAGCAGCCTCAAAGCCAAGCTCCTCATCTCCAGGCATCTCGTTGTTACGGTTACGGCTTGGTGGACGGGAACCCGTTGGGGACACAACTGCACAAACAATATGGAGAAAAGTGAAAGGGATGTTAATTCTTGAAGTTCCCATTGAAAAAACGATACCACACAATAATACTTAATTGCAGGAAGTAACCTAACAAGTAGTATTGCAGGACTGTAGAACACAGGTGTGAACAACGCCACGAAGACCTAAGGCGCCAGATGTTCTGATATATTCCATGTGGTCTTTCCATGAAAGCAGATGGCAATACACCCAAGTAAAAACATCTTCATTTTGTCAGGGAAAGAAAATATAAAACATGATATTTATATCATGCAACTTCCTCACTTTGATCTTGCCACTGGACAATGAAACATTGTCTTTTTCAATTGGTTGAAAACAGTCTTGACAGCATATACTACTTACCTAAGTAGAGTTCAACATTTTCAATCTTGATGAGAAACAGTTGGTGCTTACCTGGGGTACACAGCACATCGAAGATGAAGCTGGCCAGCATGAGCGGCAGCACCGGCCTGTAGTCACAGAAGTTTCCGTCTCGTAGCTGCTCGCCCCTCTCTCTGATGGCCGACATCTCCACCAGGCCCAGAGGAATCTTCTTCAACAGAGACACCACCTCCGACTCCTGGTAGGCCAGCTTCACCTGGTCAACACACAGGTATCAACCACACCATACAAGTAAGACATACATGGAGTTAATACAGGAGAAAGGAAGCCATCCCAAAATGATAAATCTCGCTTTATTTACATTTAAAACATTTGGGAGTCATGCTCAAGTCAAACATACATACCAGAAGACAGAGGAAAAATAAAAGCCGATGTTTAGAGAGATTGTCCGGCCACTGAGACCTCCAAATGGGGTTTAAAACAGGGCCTTTTGTCCCTACAATCTGTACGTGCCACTATATATTTTCTTTCATGTTGACTGAGCTTTTCAGACCATTTGGCCCAGTGGCAGCTCTTCAGTATTCTGACAGATAACTCTTCATTCTACCAGCTGCTAGCTCTGAGTCCTTCATTTCAGAAGAAGGTCAGGTACCGATGGCCATTTAAAAAGTTGCACCTGACAATTGACGACGACCTGGTATCACCTTGAAAAGTATGTATTACTATTGAGTCCGAACAAATGCATCAGCGTAAAGCAAGACTTACTAATTAAAAAGTGGCATAAAATTAGGGCCAAAACGATGATTCAATATATCAATGAGCCAATCGTAAAAGTATTATTTTGACAATCTATTGTTTTTCTGCTTCTCCAAGCTGAATCAGTGAGAGAAACATTATCTAGTTCCATCTTGTCAAATGTTCAATGTGTTGTGTTATTTAAAACACCTCATGAATAAGTCAACAGGTCTCATGATTAGGGTCAATCAAAGTCTCTATGACATTACGGTAGAAACCCCTCAACCAGTCCCCCTGCAGTAGCCAGCAGGCCCTAAATGCTAGTGGATAAACAGCATTTACACAGGATTGGCCTTTATTGAATATACTTAGATAATAATGCATTCAAACCTTAATCTTTTAAAGCGTAAGTATTTGATAACATATACAAATAACAATACAAGTTATTCTACAATCATTGAATGAATAGTTTGAGTGTTTATATATGCGAGAGTGACAGACCTCCAGAGCTTTGGTGGAGGCCGGGGGTCTCTGCAGCTCCAGAGAGAACATGCCGGTGCAGAAGGCCAGGTTGTGGAGCTCCAGCCGCTCACTGAGGACGGTGAGGAGGAAGGCGGCCTTGGACAGCGTGTTGGTGGCTACCTGCGTCTGGCGGCTGGTCGACACCTTGCTCTTCTTACCCTGAATCCAACAACCAGGCAAATAATGAGGACATGGAACTACATTTGATGTCTGATATGCCTGTGCAATTCAGAAAATATGCTAAATGACAGACTCTGGAAGCTTATCCCAACTAATTCACCCTCGCATGTCTGTGGTCTGCAGAGGTCTTCAAGTGTCTGTCTTTAAAAGCACTTGGAGCAACACTGGTTAAGCAAACATCACACGTCAGAGATTGAATACGCTGAATTGCTGTGGACTTCGACAAAAAGTTGACATGTTTTTGGGTTGTAATGTTTCGGAATAATACGTGAACTCTCAATTCCATATGTATTAATGATATATAATGAAAAATGTTATATTTGTATTGTCTGGAAGCCCGTTCTTACGCTTCCTATAGCTTATTGGGGTGTCCCATTTCACATGTTTCCATTATGGCTCATGATTGTACCTGTATTTTTATTTAACTTGTGAATAACTGATGATGATGATGATGATGATGATATGCAGATTAAAATATGAATTTCTTTGTTTTAGTGAACATTTCATATGTTTTGCTCTTGTGCACAGTATAAAACGATGCTAATTTAAAGCAGATACAAATCTTGTGCCTTTCCTTTATAAAGAAAGGCTCAATATCCCCACTACTATTTAAGATGCTGACTGATGAGATTGGAAGATTGAGACTGTAGACAGAAGCCGGAGACAGACTGGATCTACCTTAGTCTGTGGCTGCTCCACCTTCAGGTCCGGAGGGTTGGCTAACAGGTCTCTGGCCAGCTCCACGGCCAGTCTGCACGCCTCATTACTGTAGCCGTGAGCATAGAGGGCCTCCGCACAGGCAAACAGCACCTGCACACACACACACACACAGTGTTATTGTCCAGTGGTATTCAGTCAGTCAGGTTTAAAGACAATGTAGTAACAGGAGATCAGTCACAGTTTTCGTTAACAAAATGAATTTACACTGCAGTGAAGACAGACATGTAGACCTAAGGGCAAGCAACATGGAATCAGTTCTAATGTGACTCATACAAAAACACTGTTGGAAGAGTGAATGCTTTGTTCTCTCTGCAAGTGTTTTGGGTTGGTAACTTAAAAAGGCCCAAACTCAATTTCAATGGGGGCAGTGACTGAGGGAAACAGAATTTAATGGCCATTTCTACTGATCATAATTCCATTGTTGAGGTCTACTAGAATAGATTTATATTGTGTTCCAAACTCACATTGGTTTCTCATACAGCATCTCTGTATAGTATGTGTATTCACTCGCTGTCCTTAACGGCTTGTCTCTGCCCCCCCGCCCCCCCCCCCCCCCCCCTTAATGTCTATGGATGAGGTTCTGGTGTATTTGCCTTCCTGTAACGCCTTGACTGTGAACACTCCTCCTGCCTTACCTCCATGCGATCCTCCTGCTCCAGCGGCTTCATCCCTGCGAAGATATCAGGCTCCTCCTCCTGGTGGCCCTCAGCCAGCTGTCTGTCTGCTCCCTCCTCTGAGGCAGCACTCAGGTAGTATGCCTGGTAGTCGTCCTCACCCACAGGTTCTCCTCCTGCAGCTCCACCTGCTGCCTGGTTAGCTGCCCCCCCACTCCCTGCTGCTGCTCCAGCGGGCCCCGCCTCTCTGCGGCCCCGTGCAGGCTTGGAGTTCTGAGTGGAGCCTGATGTCGCCGTTGCGATTGAAGTGGAAGGCTGGTTACTGCCAGCGGAGTCTACATCTTCCTCTTTGTTCTGAACCGGCTCGACCTCCTGCTCTGCGTCCTTTTCTGCAGAGCTGGGCATGTCCATCACAACCACCACCGTCTCTTTGGGGGGGAAGCAGGGGGGAGTCGGCTCTGCAGCAGGGAGTGCAGCCGAGGCATGGCTCACACGCTTTGTTTCAAATATCTTGCTCCCCCCGTTGCTGTTGCTGTACTTACGCGAGTCTCGGAGCAGTGGGCTCAGGGAGGGAAGCATCTCAGGTGGAGGGGGGAGAAACTCAAAGGTGTTGCTCGCCTCTGCCCCCAGTGCCAGACTGCAGCCATCATCCAGGCTGAGCTCGGCCAGGTCCGGCTCCAGGGAGCTGTCCTCACTGCTGGTTCTCCGCTTGGCACTGGCATGCTTACCACCTCCTACCCCACTCCCTCCCACAGGACCCCCTACAGAGGCCCCCTTCCCACCTCCCTGGGTCAGTTTCAGCTTCCCTCCAGAGGAGGAACCCGGCCCCTTGTACATGCACTTCCCTCCTCCATCTTCCAGGGACAGAGAGACACCACCTCCCAGACGAACCAGCACACCCCCCCCTCCGCTCACTGACAGCCCCTTCCTCTTGGTCAGTAAGGTCTCCTTGGGTCGTACTGCCACCTCCTGTTGGGACGAGTGACCTCTGCCTTTAAAATCCCCCCCTGCTCCGCCTTCAGTTCTGCCCCCCCGCTCCGCCTTCAGGGTTTCTCCCCCCGATCCTGCAGCAGCTTTGACCCCTCTCTGGTGCAGCACTGCCCTGGACCAGCAGAAGGTGGCGCTCTTCTTATCAGCGCTGCAGTAGGTGATGCTCTCTAACGGGTAGGCCACCTCCCAGTTGAAGTAGCAGGATTCCACAGCAGGCTTGAAGCCCTGGAACAGTTTATCCAGAGACTTGCGGTGTTGTCCCCTCTTCACGATCTCTATGACCTTCAGGTGCCACTGCTTCAGTTGCCCGGCCAGCTCCAGACGCCTGGAACAGAGCATAACAGTCTCTATGTGATGTTCACTCCATCTTAAATGTGTTGTCCAATGCAATCATTAAGTGGTGAATGCACTGAAAATATATTTATAGCCATTCATTTGCACATTCTGACCTGCAGGGGCTCATGGTGGGGTCAAGTACCGCCAGCCTCCATAGCACCACCATCTCATCACACATGCTGGCACAGGCGTGAGCCGCCACCTCCGATTGGCCGTTGCTGCGCCCGGTGTGGCCACTGGCACTGCTGTGGGACGCCGAGGTCCGAACACTGTACCACCAGCTGATGATCTGAAACACAGCCAGAGGTCAGAGGTCTGGATTATTGCCACGTTGAATTTACATAAATAAATGTCATCGTTGTTGTCCATAATGTAACAAAGACCTCATGCATACTCAATGTTACCCCTCTAGAGGAATCGTTTCTTTTTCTTTGATGTCAAGCCCCTATCATTGTAAATGCTCATGTGCGTGTTTTTTATCCTTCAGCAGCTGCAGTTGGTGTCATGGTCAGGATGTACCTGTTCGTAGGTGAGGCACTGCTCAGTGAGAATCTCCAACAGGGGGGCAGCATTGCTGTCTCGTCTCTTGAACATCTCCCTGACGATGGACAGAAGGTTCCAGATGCCTTCTGGCTCTCTGCCCCTCAGAGGTCGCAGGAGACACGCCCATTCAGCAGCGGCCGGCGGCTCCGTGGACGACAGGTACATAGAGTTTACATCACTATGGATCACAAACAAACACCACGGATTTTAAAACGAAGTAAAACTGAAGAACAGATAAAGTAAGAATACTATTGCACAAACAATGCAGATGAAAATGAAGAAATCCTGTTTCCGCCAGGCAGAGTATAGCTAGCTACACGTGTGTGAAAGGGATTAGTGATGTGTTTAATGTTTATAATATTCCTAAAGCCTTTAGGAAATGGATGAGGGAAGATAATGTTAGATGAGTAGTGTGTACCTGAAGACGACAGGTGAGGGCCCACAGAACTTGTGCAGAGTCTTTTTGATGTTGTCGCTGAGGGTGGACTCATCCAAATACCAGGTGCTCTGGTCAGATGCGGAAGGGCCAGCTGTCGGGTCTACACACACACACACACACACACACACACACACACACACACACACACACACACACACAATTTAGGAAGTCAGAAAAAAAACGGTCTTACTTAATTTAGTCCAGTTCATTTTACTTTACGAACATTTCTATTCCATTTTCACATTGCTGCAAGTTATTGAACTGTAGAGCTATTGGGGTTTTAAAAGAAAACCTCCTCTTTGCTCGAGTTACAGCAACATTTTGTTGATGAAAAACAGCTCTGAGATAAGTTACTATCCAAACACTCCTCTCTATGGACTTCCTCTCCACATAAGTAACATCGCTGCCATCTAGCTGCAGATAATTGGATCATTTTGGCTGAAAGCGGTTCACTTTCTGAGCTTGAATGAAATGATGAAATGATCCCCTCTGGTGTGTGCTTGTCACACTGAGTGCTCTGTACCTGGAGCTCCACACACGGTGTTGATGGCAGTAGACTGAGAGGACAGCAGCTCATCCAGCAGCCGCTGAGCTGTGGGGAGAATCTGGATAAACAAAACTGAATGAATACCAAGTCTGCTTTTTCAAATCTATGATGTATACATCACAGATATCATACTTTCAATATGCTCAATAGTTTGGATTATAAAGTCAACAGCTTCAGAACATGGACAGTACCTGCTGAGGCAGCTCACTGATGAGGTACTGAGCAAACTTCTGCAGCTGGTCCCTCTGCAGCCGGGACAGAGACTCAGAGACAGGAGCCCTCAGACACACTGCTGATGCCTACACACACACACACACACACACATTAATTCCTTGAATCCCTATCTGAGGATGCTGCTGCCAGATGCATCCCGTAGTCAATTAATCATTTGATTGGTTTTACTGGGATAAAATGACTGATCACTTGATTTAATGGAAATGTGATACAGTCAAATGTATTTTGTTCGTGTGGACATAAACTCACATTATGGATCCTGAAGAGGCAAAGGGCCACCACATGGGCGCACCATTTGGCCCCAGCGCCACAGGTGCAGCTGCAGGAAGTGATGCGGCAGCGATCGAACATGACCGCCACATTGTAGGCGCCTTTGGACTGCCCCGACTGGTTGGACACCACTGTAGCACTGAGATGGAAGCCTAGGGCAGACGGATCAACACAGAATTAGAGTAGACGACAGAAAAGGGCTGAACAAAGAAACACAAACGTATATCTATTACCTTTATTTGATATTATTATTATATTACTCTCGCCGTACATTACATCATTACAAGCCACACACACACGGTCGGTCAGTCAAATTTAATAGACAATAAAGTATTCTGAATCTGAATCTACAACAGGTATGAAAGCTGAAAACACCCACCGATCTGCAGGGGATCTTTGACAGCTCGGATCCTGTAGAGCTGCTCTCCACGCTGGAATTCATCCGGACTCCCGTTAGCCAGGCAGGAATACAACCTGTAGCAGGAGGAAAGAGACATAATATTAACTTCTCTAGGTGGTGTGCAATAGGGTTGTGGTTAGGAGTGGAGGGTTCTTTTCATCACAGCACAGTAAATGAGTTTTAAACAAATCATTCAAAACGCTTCAGTTACTGAGTAAAACTTATTCATTGTTCTTCAAATATCAATAGTTGCCAGGATTGTCAAAAAGCATATCCCCAATGAGAGGCAAAGAAAGGAACCCGGGATCAGTGCTCTCACCTGATGTCCTCTTCATTCTCGGGGAAGCTCCAGTAGGCGATGCGGAGCTGTAGCTGCTCTGGGACGGGGGGGTAGACCTTTTCCACCACCTCAAATGGGATGTGGAACGCTACCTGCTTCGCTGACAACTCCACCAGAGGAATCACCTGACCATCTGAGGAAGAGAGGAGAGGAAGATCAGCTCCATCAGCCTCGGGGAACAAAGACTGCAGCTAGTGCTTCACTCACTAGTATCACTGTCTTAAAGCTGCAGGGTGAGTGCCTGATGAATACCTGACAGAAGGGTATAAAGATTCACTTCACAGGCCCAACTGTGGCAGTCTGTTCAATGTGTTGAATGGGATTACAGTAAACTGACACAGCTGCACCTAAATCTTCATCACTGCAAACAAGACGTTAATCTTAATTAATTAAAATAACAAATAACAAAAACAACAATACAAAAATAATAATAATGGTCTCATTTTACAAATGGTCAAAATATCCTCAAGATTTCAGTCAAAGAAACACAGATTGCTGTTAATGCAAACTAGAGGTTTTCATGGGTCCAAACCGTGACCTCAGCTAGGTCCATATTATTTTCAGAATGGGTTTTGGCAAGGTCCCTTTGTATTTAGTGAAGTTAGTGTGTTATGCCTAATATCCAAGAAGATCCAAGTCCATAATCATCACCACCTGCAGCATCTACTGTGCACAACATGATAACAAAGAAAAAGACAGTTTGAGGTAGAACAGGGTTGCTGTTCAGGTCCACCTCGTTTTGGATCAAGTCTGATTATTCTCTGTGTCTGGATCCAGTCTGAAAGTTCTTGGGTTTGCTTTCAATCTGGTTTCAATATGTATTTGTGCGTATTATGTGTGTGTGTGTGTGTGTGTGTGTGAGCGTGCGTGTGAGCGTGTGTGTGTGTGAGCGTGTGTGTGTGAGCGTGTGTGTGAGAGAGCGTGTGTGTGTGTGTGTTTTTCTTGGGTCTCAGATTACAGACCGTGGTGCTCTGGTGATCTCCATCCTCAGAGACCTTCATTACAGCAACATATCAACCCAAACAGAGAGAGCCATTAACATGTTGGCCACATTACAGTATTGGTATATGGTGAGAAACTGGGACTATCTGACTGTCAAGAGCTAAAACCTGTGGAGAAGGGGGTTGCTGGGTAGCAACAGAGCCCATCTTGCTAGCCTATGACTGGCTGCTGCAGGTGAATGACAGTAAGCTGTCCACCAATCAGCTGCAAGCACAGAGGGAAGCCACTGACAGCTGTTCCTGTGTAGCTGCTGGCAGAGAGCTGAAGACTCACTCACTCTTTACACTGGCTCACCAGTTGAATCTTGGACAGATAACAGTGACATTTAAGGTGATCGGGTGATAACAGAGCTGCCAACTCCAGTAGGTAGAAGTTCATGGATTTGAGTTAACTTAACAGTTTAAAGCTCAAGTTTTTGTTGTTTTGTTTTTAAGTCCAACAAACTGTTGTTTTAAAATATCTAAAGACCATTTTTTTATTACCCGATTATACATTCATTTGAACCAGACACATATAAAAAACCTGCCACATTATCTTAAATGTGAATCCACACTCTGCATGGAATTAACAAATTGTGCTTGGTTGCGGACAAAAGGTAAAAAGCTGTAATGCTGCTACTGTCGTCTTCACAAACTGCTCCAGAAAAGTGCCAGCATTTTCATTTAGCAGCACTACCAATTTCCACCACCTGTTGGGTTTTGGTGATGGAGGTGTGAAATATAACTTTAAGTCAAACCTCTTGCTTCTGCGCCAAGTCTCATTGTATTTTGATCAGAGCAACCCACACCGCTACTCTCCCTCTATGTAAAGGTAATGAGTGAAAACAGATGCTGTCATTTGACTGCTAATATTTCGGATTCTTAGGTTTCGCCAATCATTAAGAAGACTGTGCATTGTTTTAGCTACAATGAGCCGTATGTTGGTCAAGCAAACAACTACATAATGTAATTGGAGATGAATGATTACCGTCAACATATTTGTTCTAATAAAAACTCCATTGAGGATTGATGTCCTGTCAGTCTGGAGGTGGACGAGTGACAGGCTAACACTTCAACACCTTTATATTTCATGCAGCAGCTACGTGTACTGCTTTGGCTTTTAACTAGGGCTGTCAGTCGATTAAAATAGTTAATCGCGATTAATCGCACATTTTTGATCTGTTCTAAATGTACCTTAGAGGGATATTTTTCAAGTTTGTAATACTCTTATCAACATATGAGTGGACAAATATGCTTTATGCTAATGTTTATTATCATTTGAACAATGACAAATATTCTCATGAATATTAAACACAACAACCTCTGAACATTACAAATATTCGCCTCAATTCAACCTGGAACCTCTCTCATTCAATACAATGTGTGTGTGTGTGTGTGTGTGTGTGTGTGTGTGTGTGTGTGTGTGTGTGTGTGATGGATCGTTGGAGCGATGTGCAACTCAAGGCATATGCTCGAACGGGAGCTGCCTGGACGCTGCAATCATGTTGCGCACTATCCGTGCTGAGTGTGCTGACTTTTCGTACAATGTCCCACTGTCTGGCTTCCTGCATAAAGTCAAGTGCTCAGTCGGCGCAGTTGTGGCGAAATGTCGCTCCTCTGTTTTCATTTAAACAGATCCATATATCCGTTAACGCAGCTAGCTAGCACCAGATGCTAACAACAACAATGCACGTAAGGTCTCTCTCTCGCTCGCTCGGGCCACACATACACACACCCTCCCGGTCCTCCCAATAGCCAGTCGGTGCCTGCCGGTGAGCGTGGAAGTGTGGTCTGCCACAAGCGGGCAGCAGGAGCGGGGCTGTCAGCATCAGCTTGTAGATGGTATTTTAAACTCGATGCTCTGAAACTACGGGGCGGCCGAGGAACAAAAATACACATGCGTTAATCGCGTTAAAATAATTAGTGGCGTTATTATTTTGTTTGCGTTAACGCGTTATTAACGCGTTAACTTGACAGCCCTAGTTTTAACATAACAACAGTCTACTTTGACAGTTGACGTTAGCCACATTAGCATCATCATCTTGCTGTGATGAAGTATTCCCACAGATGTACACTTATTGACTGACGGGTACCATTGACTTAGAATTCCATCCTCTCGGTGGACCGCCTGAGAACACAGATATGTTACCGCCCTTTTTTCGAACTGATAAAGAAGAGAAAATCGTAACTTTGAATCTAATTCTTATCATATGGTATCATTCCAATTGGCTCCTAACCACTAACTTGGCTGAAATTAGCTTCTTATTACAGATGTATCAGAATCTGCAGAAATGTTGTTCTATGTGTCAGAAAAGTAAAGTGTAAAGTGTTTCTTAACCCTTTCTCCAGTCAGCCATTCATGTAACTTTCCTTCAATATGCCATGCATATAACCTGATGAAGACCCACAGCATGGCCACACTATTCACATTCCCCTCCCCCAAGAGCTCTTACAGCTGCTCTGCAGATGTTCAGGAGGCTCTGCACACACCTGGCACTGCTATGTTGTACCTGTAATGCACCCTATGCATTACAGGAATTAAAAACATTGCTTGTGGCTTGACTATTTATCTTATTATCTTTTATTCTTCTATATTGCTGAGGAATTGAAACTTCAGTTCCATTCGGCATCACATTTAAAGGTGGGGTATGTAATTTATTTCAGAAACACTTGTTATCTTCCATGGAATGCTCTCAACGTCCCGATAGCAATGAATATCTGAAGTGCTTTGACAACAAATCCATACAAACAGTCATCAGTGGAAGCCGTGGCGCTGTAACAAGCACGACCAATCATCTGAGCCGGCTAAAGTAACTGGATGGCCTACCTGCCTGTCAGCCTTCCATCTGGGCACAAACTTATCTCGTGCCCTCATTGGTCATGTGCGCGTTCGTGTGTGTTGGAGGAGGGGCTCTGTGAGGAAGTGGCAGATATTTTCAAATTCTAGCGCACTCAAGCTGGTGTCTCCAAAATGACCCACCCCACCTTTAAGTAGGCTGTCCAGATAAAGCCCCTTATGGCTTATTTTTACTTTGTCATATTGGGCTGTATAAATAATAAAGAGTTGACCTAACTGACTATTTTCTTATTTTCTCCAAGTGGTCCAACACCTCCCTCTTTGCCAGACCTCTCTGCTCCTCCGTGGGTCTGCAGATATCAAGGCCTGCTGAGCTTCCGTAGGATACAAAGCAGTAGTATTTCATGATGAAGAGGTTTTATTAGTCTACTGCTTCAGTTCAGTGTTTCCTCTGTCTCAACTGTGCTGCTAGCATGATGCCACTCATACACAGCAGACAGAGTGGAGGCAACAGCAGGAACAAATGTGCATTCATTCAAAATCTAAAACCTTCCTGCTTGGCGGTGCCGAGCTGTCGGTGTGTTTGTTTGTAACCACTGTGAAACAATCACAAAATAACGATGTATTCTTCCAATTCACTGCCTTCCTCTCGCTAAAGCTATACATTTTGTTCATTCAAACTCTAGTTCCACCACTATTGCTCCGTTGCTCCCTCTCCGAGTTGACTCCAGTTCCTAGAACCAGGAAAACTAGTAGTACACAGTAATGGTGAAACACTGCTGTTAAGGTGACTGAGAGCAAGAACTGTGTCTAGTTTGTGGAGTAGTCCGACTTCCCCGGCCCCGCACATGTGCTTCCTCAGGCAGGTAACGCTGGTGGCAGCCAATGGGCATCACAGTCCTGCTTGGCTAACCAACATTGCTTCAGGTTCCCTTCAGCAGAAATGAGTATTGTGCCAAGGCACATTATGACAATCACATTGCTTGTTCAGACGTCATCTTGTAAAATGACATTTTAAGCGAGGAGCTTTTTAATACAATCGATATTAGATCTCTTATGATTTCACTTCCTAACACTAGCTCCGAGCAACTAATAGTGCATAATTAAAACTACTATTGTCAAGAAATGTTTTCATTAAAGCATATATTTAAATAAAATAACATTTATTTGTAATCCTTTTTAATTATGTATTTTTAATGCAAATAACCACAATAGAAATGAGAGGATAACATTTGTTTGTTTTATCTTTACAAAGACTTATGGAGGGGTGATTTTATTTCTCAAGGTGGTTAAGGGGAGGTTGGTGAAAAAGTGAATCTGTAATTGATGTATATACCATACCAAGAACAATTGGTATCAGCGGATGGCTCATTGACCATGTTCAATCGGTTTCAGCCTAACAAACATGATCAGCTCTACTTTTACTCGAAACTCATCAAGGCCCAAGCCAAGTCATCTTGCTTGGGACCTGCTAACTAAAGGATGAAATTAAAGGGGGTTGGGCCATGACGTTAGCAACACTTAAGCACAGGCTCACTTAAGGTGGACTGACCTTAAATGTGCTATTCTCATTAAGAGACACGGCACTCATCAGAGTTTTTGCTCTGCAATTAAACTAAGTTTGTGCTGCTACTTTTCAACCTGATCTCAAACATGTGGCCATCTTCAATCTGAAAGAAATGTACAGTACATCCATATCTGTCACAGAGCAACTGACGTATAAATCCTTGGTGCACACAGCAACATGTGTTCAATTTCCTGTCCCGCTTGTGGTTTTAAATATTGCAGTGAGTTTAAATCTGTGGAGCCACAGGCAACAGATGTTCACTGTAGTTCGGATAAACCTCAAGCCCTCCAACATAACCCTTTCATACTCCAGCCCCCATTATGCAGCCCCCGGTGAGGAGGAGGGTCATGATGGAGTGTCAGCTGACTCGCAATTACCCGCTCATATAGACTCCCCCCCGCACAGGGTGGGCTACTGTGTCTGACTGAATTAAGTAATATAAACAGTTTGAAAAGAACAGGCCTATGCAAGGCATGTAGCATGTTTCCCAGCCATACAGAATAAGAAGCAGGGAGTACATTTCGAAGTGCATGTGACATGACACTCTGGGACTTTATACCACACGCATTCATAACAACGGCTGTAAATCTATGATCATTTATAGAGCATTATATCCTTGATACTTTGTTTTGCCTTCTTCAGCACTTAGGTTCTATAAATGCTCAGTAGTGCATAAACAATTTGAGCTTAGTAGAAAACGGTCAGTTCTAGATGCACCTTCCAGGATCAACCCACCATTCTCTCTGGAAGCCTGTAGGAAACACTGATTGTGATGCGTCTACATCTGACAAGACAAGGTGTCATAGTTGCTCACTTGGTGACTTTTTTCACTTCCATTTGGTTCATTTCTAAATCTTCCACACTAGTTGACACCACAACGCAGTATACACATGTAATTCCTGCTTTTTCTCTCTTTAGTTGATTTTTCTTCTACACAGAAACACTGATCTGTCCAACAGATCGTCAACGTTAAGATGATTGTGTTACCGTTATACCACAGTTATCGTGGACATTGATTTGATCAGTATCATATTGTGACTCTGTGATGCCAGCCCTACCTTAGTGGTGATCTACCTGTAGCCAGGGGGTTCCACATTCCCGGACATTTCCATAACACAAAAGCAAATGATTCAAATACAAGGAAAATGGCTGTTTGAGATTGTGACTGGAGTATTGGTTTGTTGGCCTACTGAAACCTAAAAACTGCCCCTCATGCTTTTGCTTGAATGCAAATTAATTCAGTTACTAATATATACATTTAGCTTTGTACTAACAAAGCCAACTGGTTCGGGTAGCTCCAGTGTTTGCAATATTACCACAATAACCAGTAAGCCTCTATTGTATCATTCCAACTTATCTGTCTTTTAGAGTTATAACATTATAAGTAGATGTCACATATTTTTTCCGACAGGTTATACATGCTATGTAAGTTAAACTTATGTTAACTGACTTCAGTTCTGCAGTCACTAAGAACATTCACGCAATATCGAAGTGTTCCAAATAATTACGAATGTGTGTCCACCAACCTCTGATCTTGACAGTGGGGGAGTTGGGTCCAGCGGACTGCTTCCTCCAGCCCCTCCAGTTCTGACAGAGGCTCTCGGCCTCTGAGATGAAGGAGCACAGAGAGTCTTCTTCGAACCGGTCCGAGTCTTCGAAGGAGAACCTCTCCCCATCCTCCCACTCGGCAAACATCAGTTCCATTACATCCACTTGTTAACGGCCCGGAGTCCAGGGGACTGCGACCTGAGGCCACGGCCTTTCTTCAGAGCAGGAATGAAGGGGAAACCCGGCGGACTGTGTCCAACAGTCGGGGAGAATCAGAGTCTGAAGACTGGGGGAGGGGAGGCCACTAGCAACCAAAACACAGCTGAGAGGCTTACCGCTGGGCCGCACAGCTACATAATACAACTGGCCATGCAGTGATCTCCTCTGAATAGTCTGTAGGAAAATATGCACAAACAACTACGATTAAAAAGTATCTTTAAGTCAATTATCCTTTGTTAAGATGTGTTTTTTTTACTTATTTGAGGCAAACAACTAGTTTAGATGTATCGCGGCTCGGTCCATGCTGCCAGGCTGAGCTGTGGCTCCAGCCTGAGGGAACTGAGGCCCTCTGTTCACTGACACAGCCAAGTGTTTTTACTCTCACAAAGAAAACAAGAGTAACGTTTTACTATGCAAAACTACAAATGTCCACCCACTAACGGTATGCAGGCATGAAGGCGGGTACAACGAATAGCTGGCTAGGAATGGCAATGTGATTAAATCTTCCAAAAGTTATTTTCCATCATCCTCGTCCTACTCTGTCTATCCACCAGACTCCCCGGGTCTCTAGATGTACTGTTGTAGCATTAACAGTTACGCCAGTCCTTAACGTGCTTACTCTTATTTCAAAGATACATATGTTTTACTAATCCATGTGAAAAACACACGTAGCATTAGTAACATCGTTGTTCTACACGTACTTTGCGAGTTTAGTGTTATTATGCTGAGCTGCAAATAACATTTCACCGTTAGCTGACAGGCTAATTATGCTAATAGCGGCATCGTCTGATAACACAAAAGGCTGTCATCGACTGCGAACAACTATATTGAGGGTATATGTTTTCTGACCCGACGTCCAGTGTGTTTAGAGCGGTTCACCTTCGCCCTGCTCCCGTAAACTGCCTTATATTAGCTAAGCCTTGTGTATTAGCACCAGTCCAGAGAGCTAGCCCCCTATCGGCTAACCTGAGCTAGCTTGAGTAGCTGTTTGTTTACATGTACTAGTGATGATAACGCTTTACACCTTTCGAACTCCTATCGTAGACGCTTATTTGTATTGCATATCTTCTAGACGTTTGCATTTTCATAGGCAACAAACGGCTCATTTCTCGGCATTAACCCTCCCCTCCTAGCTCGATGTTGTTCTGTCTTTGTATTAGTATGGGAGCCTCCTCTCTGACGTTTGAAGCTGACAGCGATATATTCCTCCTTCAGCTTGCTGCTCAAGTCCTGATGAGTCCTTCACATCTCCTCCAGCCCGACGGACACCGGCTGTCCTAGCGTCTAGTCAAACGTCTCTGCCTCCAAATGACACCGGGATCCCCAGATGATTTCCCGTATTCCTGTCGTCCAGGATCTATTACTCTGCCGGGGGAAGATCGCTCACCTCTCGTGCAGCTCCTCCTCCACCAGCTGATCACAGCTTCCGGCTGCCAGCTCTGCACAGGCACTAGGGTTGCGGTCATAAATCCAAAAATCAGCTCCTAACGTCTAACCCTATCCTATAGAGAACCGCAGTGACGCGTCGTAAAACCCGGAAGTAAACTTCTTCCGGTTCCTTCGTGAAAAACCAATGCAAATTCTCCATAGGATTTTGGAAAATAGCTCGAAATAAGGTCTGTGGTTGACACACATTTAAGAGAGGGATCACGTTTTGTTCAGCCGGATAATTTCCACATGTCTACCCTACTTTTATAATTTGTAATCATAAATCTAGTCGCCAAAAGTGAAATGCTAACGTTATGCTATAAACCATGGGTCGGCAACAGGCGGCCCGCGGGCCATTGTTGGCCCGCCAGCAATAATATTTGGCCCGTAATTTTGAGAATCAAAAATAAAATATTATTTTGATTTTTTTTTTGATTTTTTTTTTTACAATATAGGACCGACACATCAGGGTTTCCGTTAGCCGCCGATCGATCGGCCGCCGGTCATTATCGGCCGCCGGTCATTATCGGCCGATATTCACTCTTAATAGTTTGATCGGTGCTCTCCATAAAGGCCGATCAGGAGAGCTGGATCTGATCGATATGGACATAAACGCGAGTGAAGTGTAACCGGACCCGAGAGAGAGATCAGATCAGCTGCTGAGTCTGATGGAGACACGCAGCTCTGCATGATCACCTGAAGCCCCGCCCACTGTTTAGCGAGTTGCATGAGAAACTGACGGGCTGTCAGGAGAGAGAGGGAGGGAGAGGGGAAAAGAGAGCATCTGTTTCTCCCGTGTTATTATTCAAAGTTAATGTAAACTTTTGAATAATGTACTTCATCTACTAGTAGTTTGTTTGAATGTAATAATTATGTTGTTTGTTGTTTGTGGAATCATTTATTGAAAAATGAATCTAAATTTGTTGATCTGTAACGATTATAAACTGAAGCAATATAAAAATGAGCCCCATTAACTGAGTTTTAAACATCAGCATATCCGGTCCTAGTCCGGTGATTACCTGCAAACGGAAACTCTGCTACACAATTCTTATTATTATTATTTAAACATGACCGGTAAGTTTCAAATTTGTCCTGTAAAATAAATTCTGTCCCGACATATCCGCTTACATTCATAATGTCAGCGGAGGGAGGGGAAGCGGCGCTGTGGAAGAGCAGAGTGGCGAGGGAGAGCTGTCATCTTCCCTTTACAAGCTTCAAACATGTATTTATCGTGTGATTTTGGAAATAAAAATGTCATATTCTGAAAGCCAAGACTTTGTTTATTTAAAATCAAACAAAACACCCGATCCCCGAAAAACTATTTTTTTACGCAAATCCACGTTTATTTTGAAATGAGCCGTTGAGACTTCCGACTGATTTCGATAGAGCGGGTCACATATGGCAAATGTGTGGTTGGGGGGAACCAGGTCAATTAAAGTACTTATTTAACTATTAAATACATTGAGTTTGAGTAAAATACTTGGTTACTGATTAATTTAGGTTATAATATATTAAATTGCAAAGCAAAACTGCTGTAATTGATTTATTTTGTCCTTTGGTATTTTTTAAAGATTTTCAACCTGAAAGAATCCTAATGTGTCCTTGAAAAGTTGAAATAAAGAAAAGGAACAAGGATTCCAGTTGTCCCTCAAGCCTCTCAAATGTGGGCAAACACTCAAATAAATGCCAAAAACCCAGAGAACTTGACAATACTTATCAGAATAAAATGTTAAATAACACTGCTACCTAGTTAATAACTCTACTTTACTCAGTGGAGGCTCGTCCATTGAGGAAAGGGAGGACCATCCTCCCTACAATTTCAGAGAAAAATAAATTTTGAAGAGAACAATAAATACACCTCAATTTAAAAGATAAGTCTGTTAAAATACAGATAATAGCCCTGGCTTTGGGACTGAAATGGGGCTAGAGAGGACGAGCCTGGGCGGGTCTAGCCAGAGGCTCTGGATTGGGCGCCTATATCATCAGTGAACCAATCAGCGGATCTGACTGCGCATCAGAGTGTTGATGGGGAGGTTTATCAGCGATATCAGAGTTTTTTCTGAACCGGGGAACAGGGGCGCTGCGCCCTCTTACCAAAATCAATTCCTTGAATTAGGCTTTGATTATGTTCTGGCCCGCCATCTTGCGGCTCAGCAAAAAATTGGCCCACGGCCAAACTTACTTGCCTACCCCTGCTATAAACGAACTACAAGCCAGTACAGCAGCATGGTCGCACGACTTCAACGTCACGCCAATTTAAGATCGTTTCAACTGACTGAAACTGCACTTTGAACACTTTAAATATATTAACATTTTCAACTGTATACCCCGTTTATCTAGGCCCTTTTTGTTTTGTTTTATGTATACATGTCACACTGTGGGAAACGATATTTCGATATTTCTGGATGTATAACACATGTAGCATTTTTTACAATAAAGCTGACTTTGACTTCCGCGTGCTTGCATATTTTAACAAAGCTTTTCATTTTAGCCACACTGAATTTAACTAGAAGTCATGGCTGTGTCAATTACCAGTCTGATATCGTTTTACAAAGATGACAAGAGTGGAGAGAACCACTACAAGTCAGGACACGTAAAACAGTGCAGCCTAGATGAAGGTGTGCTTACCGGTGTTGTCAGGGCTAGCATGAGGGACAAGGTTTATAGAGTGTCGGTGAGTAGTGATAGCAAGAATACCGTTAACCTAGAGTTAATTTATTCACATTAATTCCCATCAACAAATCCATTTTATGTGTCACATGAAATCTTTATTAGGCAATGCAAGTTTATTTATATAGCACTTTTCAACACAAGGCAATTCAAAGTGCTTTACAAAAAATGAAAGACATTAAGAAAATGGAATTTAAAATTAGTCATTAAAAGAAAAGCTAATAAAATAAACATTAAAAGAAAAAATACATGGATAAAAGTTACAGTGCAGTCTAAGATATGAATAGTTCAATTAAAAGCAGCGACAAAAGAAAAGTCTTCAGCCTGGATTATAAAAGTAGTCAGAGTTGCAGCGGACCTGCAGGTTTCTGGGAGTTGTTCCAGATATTTGGAGCCATAATAACTGAACGCTGCCTTTACCATGTTTAGTTCTGACTCTGGGGACAGGAAAGCTGACCAGTCCCTGAAGACCTGAGAGATCTGGATGGTTCATAATTTAGCAGGAGGTCAGAAAGTATCCTGGGCCTAAACCATTCAGTGCTTTATAAACCAGCAGCAGTTATTTTGAAATCTATTCTTTGACACACAGGAGGAAGCCAGTGTAAAGACTTCAGAACAGGAGTGATGTGATCCACTTTCTTAGTGTTAGTGAGGACTCGAGCAGCGGCGTTCTGAATCAGCTGCAGCTTTCTAATAGATTTTTTAGTGAGACCTGTGAAGACCCATTGCAGTAGTCCAGTCTGAAGATAAAAGCATGGACAAGTTTTTCCAATCCTGCTGTGACAATAGTCTTTTAATCCTAGATATGTTCTTTAGGTGATAGTAGGCTGATTTAGTAACTGTTTTAATGTGACTGTTGAAACTCAGGGTCAGAGTCCATGACTACACCTAGATTTCTGGCTTTATCTGTTGTTTTTGAACATTGCAGACTGAAGCTCAGCGCTAACTTTTATACGTTCTGACTTGGCTCCCAAACCATTACCTCAGTTTTATCTTTGTTTAATTGGAGAAAGTTCTGACACATCCAGTCATTGATTTGTTCAATGCACTTACTCAGTGTTTGAATTGGAGCATAGTCTCCTGGTGAAATGGCTACGTAAATGTGCTGTGTCATCTGCATAGCTATGGTAACTTATTTTGTTGTTTTTCATTATCTGAGCCAGTGGTAGCATGTAGATGTTAAGAGAAGAGGCCCCAAGATTACAAATATTACACACCAGAAAACACAGAAATATCCATGAAATAAACATACAGTAGGCTATAAACAATTAAAGGGATAATTGGGAAGGCATTACAAATGTAAATATATTTTAAATAATAAAACAATCCCACCACCACAGGTATCCTACAGGAGAAGAGGGAATTCTCTCCACAAAATGTGAATGCCCACGTGGAGAATGGAAATGCAGTCATGCGGCTGCATTAGCCATCTTTGCCATCCACAATTTCAGCTGCACTGACACCCCCTGTCAGTGGAAGAAGCCAAAGGCAGCTAAACGTACACATTCAGTGGAGGAGCTATTTCCTCCAACCAATAACTCATTCAACCCGCTGACAAGAGAGCCCACCTCCGAAGATCGTGACTGGCTGAGGGACAGACTCGGGGGCAGGTTCTCAGGAATTTCTTGGCTTCTCTCCCCGAGCCAGAAGAGGAACACTTCAGCTTGGAAACCACTTACTGTTCCTGAAATGATCAAATCTGTTAGGCATCAGGGACCTGAGGCAATTGTGGCAAGCATGGCATTGTCTGAGGAGCAACAGAGGGCAATTCAGGTGGCTGCCACTGGTCAGCGAACCAACCCAAACTGGCATTTGTTCAGGAAAGGAAGGTTGACTGCCAGCAACTTTGGAGCTGTCCTGAGGTCAAAGCGTGTGACTGCTTCCCTTATGTGCCAGGGTGCTAGGGCAACAACAGGCCCTTTGATGGTGTTTTGTCTGTACAGTGGGGGACTATGAATGAATGTGAGGGCGTCAGGGCATTCACCACTGCAACCCCAGAATGCAGGTCCATGAGTCAGGTTGTTGGCTCTCCCAATCAGAAGTGTTGGGGGCATCTCCAGATGGTCTGGTAGGGTCTTCCGCTGTGCTGGAGGTAAAGTGTCCCTACGGAGCCAGGGAAATGACAATTAGTGAAGCATTGCAAATCAAAGGCTTCTGTGTCAGTAAGGAGGAGAAGAAAACATTCAGCCCTGCGTGAGGAACATCCTTACTGGCACCAAGTGCAAGGTCAGCTTCACCTCACTGCAAGAAAGAAGAAGAAATAAAAAAATTGTGAATCGTTTTTAATTTACATTTACTCGCCTTTGCAATGTTTGGTGGTTGTTTAGAGTGTTAGGCTTCCTGTCAGCTCG